ATTGTCATTGTTAGAGGATGACAAAGTTGCACTTTCATTTACAGAACAAAACATTCCAGATGTTTACGTGGACATCACATCAGAACTAATCATACAACAATAACATATGGCTCACTTGTTAGATTCTTTGTGATTCATAAAAAAACACCACTATGCAGTGTTTCGTATTGCAGTGTAGGTCATAACCAATTGAGTTGAATGATTGTGCGTTAAGGAAGTACTTATTATTGACACCACACACTTTCCTACTACTTAAATATCAGTGGAAGCAGTACTGTAAAATAAAGTGTTATCATAGGCTTAGTAAAACTGCCTGAGGAAGCCCTATAATCAATTGAAATTGACAAAGACAACAATGGAAGAACTACTTCCTTGAAGAATGTTGTCAAGATCATTCGTATGTTGCAGAGACGTAAAGGTCAGGGTGCTCTATTTTCTACTCCTTGTGGGAACATTGTCAGATAACCTGTTGTATAACAACATGGCCTGAGGGGTTCAGTGTATAGTCTGAGTACATCATGTACAAGTAAGTGGATGGTGGTTGCCAAAGAAACAGCAGCTCACTGTTGAAACATCAGCCTTTTCAGTAGGTACACAGTGTCTGTCTCCATAACTCCCTGGGAAGGCATGGAACAGTGGTGACACCATAGAGATCCCATAATTCAGGACTCTCTGCAGGTGTTCTATATGAAATATAGCACATTACATATGGGTGACATAGCCAGTAGGACATCAATAAGGGAACCTAGCTTTCACCTGGATTCACCTGGTCAGTCTATGTCATGGAAAGAGCAGGTGTTTCTAATGTTTTGTACACTCAGTGTGACACGATAGCATGCACTATTCAGGGCAGGATCCCCCCATTATAGTTATTCTGCACTAGATTCTGCACTAAATTGTATAGAGTTGTGACGAGGTGTGAATGAAGGAGTCAGGCGCAGGAGGCAAAATACCAAAGTCCAGTGGAGATGGATCTGTGCGTAATGCCTGCGCTATATCTGCGTCCATCGCCCATACTACCGGCGCCACAATGCATGAGGCCGGGAGTATGGGGGTGTTGTCTCTGGGCCTCTCCTCTGTGTCATACAGCTGAGACAGTGCGTCTGCCTTCACGTTCTTCGTACCCGGAATGTATGAGAGTGTGAAATCAAACCGGGTGAAGAAGAGGGCCCACCTGGCCTGGCAAGGATTCAGCCTCCTCGCTGCCCGAATGTACTCCAGGTTACGGTGGTCTGTCCAGACGAGGAAAGGGTGTTTCGCCCTTCGAGCCAATGTCTCCACACCGTCAAAGCTCGGACAACAGCCAGCAGCTCCCGATCAACAACGGCGTAGTTCTACTCCGCCGAGCTGAGCTTCTTAGAAAAGAAGGCACAGGGGCGGAGCTTGGGTGGCGTGCCCAAGCGTTGGGATAAGACAGCTCCTATCCCTACCTCGGACACATCCACCTCCACTACGAATGGTAGTGATGGATCGGGGTGAGCCAGTACCGGGGCTGAGGTGAACAGATCCCGCAATCTACTGAAGGCCAAATCAGCCTCATCAGACCAGCGGAGCCGGGACGGCCCACCCTTCAACAAGGAGGTAATGGGAGCTGCGACCTTGCCAAAGCCCAGAATAAACCTTCGATAGAAGTTGGCAAAGCCAAGGAAGCGCTGCACCTCCTTTACCGTGGTTGGAGTCGGCCAATTACGCACGGCTGCAATGCGGTCTCCCTCCATCTCCACACCTGTGGTGGTAATGCGATATCCGAGGAAGGAGATTGACTGCTGGAAAAACTCACACTTCTCTGCCTTGGCATAGAGATCATTTTCCAGCAGTCGGACCAGTACCTTGCGAACCAGGGACACATGCTCGGCGCACGTAGCGGAATACACCAGGACGCAAGCGACTAAATTACCACCTCATCGGGAGGGGGATTGCGCGATAAACCTTCAGGTAGACGCTGTACCTCCCAGGAGTCATGTGTATACCCTGTCGCAGGCTGAAACGGAGTCCCTGCGCCAGGGGTATATACGTCCCTCCATTTCACCTGCCTCCTCGAGTTTCTTCTTTGTGAAGAAGAAAGATGGCGGTTTACGCCCGTGCATTGATTTTCAACCACTGAATAATGTGACGGTACGATTTAGTTATCCTCTTCCCCTCATTCCTTCAATGATTGAGTCAATGCATTGGGCCCGCTTTTTCACCAAATTAGACCTCAGGAGTGCCTACAACCTGGTGCGTATTCGGGAAGGGGATGAGTGGCCAAACAAAGCTCACTGTTCACTTTTCAAGAGATCGGTTATAGAAGAGGATGTTGGAGCATTGGTCAAGTTATTTGATATCAGTGATTTTGCCATGAAGGGCCTTTAGCCCCCCTTTATATCAATCACTAATTGAGGGCCTTAAAGATAATGATCAGCACTACAACACCGTTTTTATTCAACACTTTTAGAAATCATGAAACACGCTTCTCCACTTCTAGTCGCACGAGCTCCCTCCCTCCGCTGAGACATGACCATCAGTCCAGTGAAATATAAAAACTAGTTATATTATTATAATTTATGCTCCAATGTGCCTCGCAATTAATAAGCTACAACAACTGACCTATTACCAGTGTTATCATATACCCTAGCTTGAGACTTTTTGAAATATAAGGGACTCTATGTTATTTATAATAAGGGGTAGGCCTATATGGAGAAAATCACAACTCTCTTATTATATATGTGTCACGTTCGTTGAAGGACGGGTCAGACCAAGGCGCAGCGTGATATGCGTACATGTTTATTGAACTGATAAACACACGACGAAAACAACAAAGGAAACGAAACGTGAAGTCCAAGGTAGCACACACACCATACCTTACACGGAACAAGATCCCACAACTAGACAGTGCCAATAGGCTGCTTAAATATGGTCCCCAATCAGAGACAACGAGCGACAGCTGCCTCTGATTGGGAACCACACCGGCCAACATAGAAATACACATACTAGAACACAAACATAGAAAACGCACAACAAGGAATATACACACCCTGACTCAACATATAAGCGTCCCCTGAGTCAGGGCGTGACAATATGAAAATAGACAAATGCATGAAACAATATTTATTTCCAGTCAATGTAAATAGCCTATAATTTTTTGGAATTTAATTACATTGGAAATAGAACTTTGCCCTGTGCTTCTCCGCCCATTCACTATTGTTAATTATTTGAACAACAGTTCAGAAAGTGTGGTTTGACATAAAATAATTTTCAAAATATTGTACCTTTAACAGGATTCTACCTCATACCCTGAATGTTCCATAGTTCCCTACTTTACCTGCTAAGCTACCAGTCAGGTGAAACTACATGTACAACATCCTAACTACACGACCAGAAAGATGTGGACACCTGCTCGTCGAACATCTCATTCCAAAATCATGGGCATTAATATGGAGTTGGTCCCCCCTTTGCTGCTATAACAGCCTCCACTCTTCTGGGAAGGCTTTCCATTAGATGTTGGAACATTGCTGCGGGGACTTGCTTCCATTCAGCCACAAGAGCATTAGTGAGGTCGTGCACTGATGTTGGACTATTAGGCCTGGCTAGCAGTCAGCGTTCAATTCATCCTAAAGGTGTTCGAAGGGGTTGATGTCAGGGCCCTGTGCAGGCCAGTCAAGTTCTTCCATACCGATCTCAACAAACCATTTCTGTATGGACCTCGCTTTGGGGGCATTGTCATGCTGAAACAGGAAAGGGCCTTCCCCAAACTGTTGCCACAAAGTTGGCAGCACAGAATCGTCTAGAATGTCATTGTATGCTGTAGTGTTAAGATTTCCCTTCGCTGGAGCTAAGGGCCTGGTCCGAACCATGAAAAACAGCCCCAGACCATTATTCCTCCTCCACCAAGCTTTACTGTTGGCACTATGCGTTGGTGCAGGTACCGTTCTCCTGGCATCCGCCAAACCCAGATTCGTCCATTGGACTGCCAGATGATAAAGCGTGATTCATCACTCCAGAGAACACGTTTCCACTGTTCCAGAGTCCAATAGCGGCGAGCTTTACACCACTCCAGTCGACACTTGGCATTGCGCATAGTGATCTTAGGCTTGTCGGCCATGGAAACCCATTTCATTAAGCTCCCGACGAACAGTTATTGTGCTGACGTTGCTTCCAGAGGTAGTTTGGAACTCGGTAGTGAGTGTTGGACAGACAATTTTTTTTGCTCCTAGATGTTTCCACTTCACAATAACAGCACCTACAGTTGACCGGGGCAGCTCTAGCAGGGCAGAAATTTGACGAACTGACTTGATGGAAAGGTGGCATCCTATGACGGTGCCACATTGAATGTCACTGAGCTCTTCAGTAAGGTCATTCTACTGCCAATGTTTGTCTATGGAGATTGCATGGCGGTGTGCTCAATTTTATACATCTGTGGCTGAATAACCGTATCCACTAATTTGAAGGGGTGTCCACATACTTTTGTATATAGTGTATTTGTAAGTACTGTGTCTAGTAGAGGTCGGTGTTTGAAAGCAGTTTGGAATCGATGAAAGCACCGGAACCACTTCGGGAATCAGTGGGATCTCGTATTTTGCAACACATGCCTCGGACCTCCGGTATCAAACGTAACATCACTACTTGCAGGCTTGATGCAGCCTGTAAACAAGGAGTTTCAGACTACTGCGCTAGGGTGTAACTAGGCCCTCAAAGAAAGACCACATGATATATGTAATGTATTTTCATAAAGAGTTTAATTTTACACTGTGAAATATGCAAATAAGATAGAATCAATTCTCAAGTTGAATTGTATGTTCACTCAACCTAAAATTCAAAGTTGAGTGAACATGCAATTCAACTTGAGAATGTATGTTGGTTCAGCTATATAGTCCCAAATGTACAGCAAACTCACAATTCTATTGCAGCTGGTTGCCTTACAATTATATGTTGAATCAACTCTTCTTTTTTTTTACAGTGTACACAGAGGTTAACTGTATAATATTATCAGTAACTCTGAATGTGCTCTTTTGATATTCCAGGTTCTCAGTGCTGACGCAGAAGCAGAGAGGCGAAGAAAGAATCTCAGGAGACAGAAGAGAGAATGGATCCTGCCTCCTGCCAAGATCAACGAGAATACAGACTACACACAAAGAGAGTACATTGCCAAGGTCAGCTAAACTAAGACACCAAGCAAAACCTGACTAATCATAATACTACTATATATATACTACTTGAAGCTGAAATCCACATAATGTGAAACTGTGCCACTTTTTTCCCCAGCGCATTTCTTATAGTGTTTTAGCTCTACTTGATTGAGCTTGCCTGGCTGGCACAATGGAATCAATTTAATAAACCCACCCCACCCATCTGTCATTCCAGGCCATCCATTACTCCAGTAATAAAATAGTATTTGATAGAATACAACCACCATTTAAAACCCAGGTCTGTTCTGTGGATGGCATGAGAAACTAAACGCTTGGAGGAATGAAACCAGGGACAGGTTTCTAACACATGGTTGCCTGAATGGAATTAGCAGGCAAGGTTGATGAGCATAAGTTTGGGCATTATGTTCACTTGGTTCATGTGAGAAAATGAAGCAGAGATTCGGGTTACCAGCATGTTTCATCCAGAGAGAAGTTGATTGTTGTGATGCTTATTTGGATGCAAATAAGCAGTTGAGCATAATCATTCATTGTGAGTCACTCCGTCCTGGCAGAAGTGGTTTGAGTCCTATGGAATTTGAACTCATGATAAACAACTATACTGACAACATAGATACATTTAATTAGATGTAATACATGTCATTAGAAACGTTTTAAGACGTCAGGCCATAATAGAAACAGAACATTATTAATGTACCTTTATAAAAGTAGGATCATTGAGGAACTCCACAAGTTATATTCAGGTATTATTATCCCTTTGTCTCTGTTTCCTTATGTTTGAATGTAATTCCTTTGTTCAGATCCGCTCTGATAAGGACAAAGAGGCGAAGGTGGAGTATTACCTGGCAGGGGAGGGGGCTGACAAACCCCCCTTTAACCTCTTCATTGTCAACCCCGAGAATGGCTTTGTACGCATCACCGGCATCCTGGACCGGGAGAAATGCCCCATGTACAACGTGAGTCTCCTTGACGTTATGAAGCTGTCATTTATAAGAATGACATGGCAGTTATGACTGCAGCTTATACGGCTTTTGTTAATATGTAACTGAAACGATATAATATAGTAAATAAATGAATATATTTTGTCCCAGTTGACTGGAGTGGCAAGGTACAGAAACGGGACATTGGCGGAAGCAAATATTCCTCTGCAGATTAATGTCATTGATCTGAACGATAACCCACCTTACTTTGAGCTGCACTCTGGGTCCATTGCAGAGTCCAGCAAAGCAGGTACATTACAAATATTTATATATTTTTTATTTATTGTCACATACACCTGAAATGTGTTGTTTTACAGGGTCAGCCATAGTAGTACAGCACCCCTGGAGAAAAGTAGAGTTAAGTGCCTTGCTCAAGAGCACATCAACAGATTTTTCACCTTGTCGGCTCGGGTATTTGAACCAGCAACCTTTCAGTTACTGGCCCAACACTCAAACTGCTGGACTACCTGCCGCCAGATATCCTCATTCTGTATAAGACAGATACCCTCTTCTCATTAGTGCTGCACAATCAGATTAGACATAATCCGATGTACCACACAGTGTTTAACAAATCCAGAAACACATATCGAGGCTGTCTCAATCGGGTCTGCCTTTTGATGCAGCCTTCTGCCTCTTGCCTTTGGAATATCATGTCTCACAATGTCCTCTCCCATTGCCCCCTACCCTGTGAAACACCAGGCACAGAAATCATGCAGATCATTGGGAAAGATGACGATGAGGAGGGGAGCATGAACTCTAAGATCCATTACAAGATCCTCAGCCAGAAACCAGCAGGGTCCGGAGCCATGTTCACCATCGATGAGAATACAGGGAAACTCTTCGTCAAGGATGCCACACTGGACAGAGAGGTACACTTGATGAGGCCTTGATAGCCCTATAAACTGTCTGTATCAGTGGAGGCTGCTGAGGGGAGAACGGCTCATAATAATGGCCGTAACGGAGCAAATGGAATGGCATCAAACACCTGGAAACCATTGTTTGATGTATTTGATACCATTCCACTGATTCCGCTCCAGTCATTACCACAAGCCCGTTCTCCCCAATTAAGGTGCCACCAACCTCCTGTGGTCTGTATGGTATTTTCAGAATATTTGGTAGCCAGAAGTATTAAGTGCACACCAGGCAAGCTCCATCAAAATCAGCTAAAATACTAAGTGAACCCAGGTCTGATGTGAAATACCAGTATATGAAAGTCTCTTTGCTCTATCTTTTCTAGACTCACGATTCGTACACTATAATCGTCCAAGGGACAGATATGGGCGGGGCAGCTGGAGGCAACACAGGAACAGGAACTGTGGAAATAAAGGTCCTGGACATCAATGACAACGTCCCCACACTGGAGAAGGAGCAGGTGAAAGAAACAGCCTTGGTTTCAACCTTTCCTGAGATTTCTTTACATGCTGTGTTTTCCATGCCAGTGGGTGACAATCTGGGAATTATAATAATGATGGATGATGGACTTAATAATTTTCACATGATTACTTTTAAAGGATACCGATTATTTCCCCTAAGGTTTATAATATATTTTGTCTCATTTTGCTGAGGTTATCCTTCAAATACATACAGTGCCTATAGAAAGTCTACACCCCCTTGAATTTATTTCATATTTTGTTGCGTTACAAAGTGGGATTAAAATTGATTTAATTGTATTTTTTTGTCAACAATCTACACAAAATACATGTCAAAGTGGAAGAAAAATTATACATATTTTTTTAGATTAATAAAACACGAATATATTTTGATTACATAAGTATTCACCACCCTGAGTCAATACATGCTAGAAACACCTTTGGCAGCGATTACAGCTGTGAGTCTTCTTGGGTAAGTCTTATAAGAGCGTTGCACACCTGTATTGTGCAATATGGTAAATATTGCACAATACAGGTGTGCAATGCTCTTATTAGACTTTTCAAAACTCTTCAAGCTCTGTCAAGGTGTTGGGGATCATGGCTAGACAGCAATTTTTATGTCTTGCCAAAGATCTTCAAGCAGATTTAAGTCAAAACTGTAACTTGGGCACTAAAGAACTTTCACTGTTTTCTTGGTAAGCAACTCCAGTATAGATTTGGCTACAGTGAGGGAAAAAAGTATTTGATCCCCTGCTGATTTTGTACGTTTGCCCACTGACAAAGAAATGATCAGTCTATAATTTTAATGGTAGGTTTATTTGAACAGTGAGAGACAGAATAACAACAAAAAAATCCAGAAAAACGCATGTCAAAAATGTTATAAATTGATTTGCATTTTAATGAGGGAAATAATTATTTGACCCCTCTGCAAAACATGACTTAGTACTTGGTGGCAAAACCCTTGTTGGCGATCACAGAGGTCAGACGTTTCTTGTAGTTGGCCACCAGGTTTGCACACATCTCAGGAGGGATTTTGTCCCGCTCCTCTTTGCAGAACTTCTCCAAGTCATTAAGGTTTCGAGGCTGACGTTTGGCAACTCGAACCTTCAGCTCCCTCCACATTTTCTATGGGATTAAGGTCTGGAGACTGGCTAGGCCACTCCAGGACCTTAATGTGCTTCTTCTTGAGCCACTCCTTTGTTGCCTTGGCCGTGTGTTTTGGGTCATTGTCATGCTGGAATACCCATCCACGACCCTTTTTCAATGCCCTGGCTGAGGGAAGGAGGTTCTCACCCAAGATTTGACGGTACATGGCCCTGTCCATCGTCCCTTTGATGCGGTGAAGTTGTCCTGTCCCCTTAGCAGAAAAACACCCCCAAAGCATAATGTTTCCACCTCCATGTTTGACGGTGGGGATGGTGTTCTTGGGGTCATAGGCAGCATTCCTCCTCCTCCAAACACGGCGAGTTGAGTTGATGCCAAAGAGCTCCATTTTGGTCTCATCTGACCACAACACTTTCACCCAGTTCTCCTCTGAATCATTCAGATGTTCATTGGCAAACTTCAGACGGGCATGTATATGTGCTTTCTTGAGCAGGGGGACCTTGCGGGCGCTGCAGGATTTCAGTCCTTCACGGCGTAGTGTGTTACCAATTGTTTTGTTGGTGACTATGGTCCCAGCTGCCTTGAGATCATTGACAAGATCCTCCCGTGTAGTTCTGGGCTGATTCCTCACCGTTCTCATGATCATTGCAACTCCACGAGGTGAGATCTTGCATGGAGCCCCAGGCCGAGGGAGATTGACAGTTATTTTGTGTTTTTCCATTTGCGAATAATCGCACCAACTGTTGTCACCTTCTCACCAAGCTGCTTGGCGATGGTCTTGTAGCCCATTCCAGCCTTGTGTAGGTCTACAATCTTGTCCCTGACATCCTTGGAGAGCTCTTTGGTCTTGGCCATGGTGGAGAGTTTGGAATCTGATTGATTGATTGCTTCTGTGGAAAGATGTCTTTTATACAGGTAACAAGCTGATTAGGAGCATTCCCTTTAAGAGTGTGCTCCTAATCTCAGCTCGTTACCTGTATAAAAGACACCTGGGAGCCAGAAATCTTTCTGATTGAGAGGGGGTCAAATACTTATTTCCCTCATTAAAATGCAAATCAATTTATAACATTTTTGACATGCGTTTATCTGGATTTTTTTGTTGTTATTCTGTCTCTCACTGTTCAAATAAACCTACCATTAAAGTTATAGACTGATCATTTCTTTGTCTGTGGGCAAACGTACAAAATCAGCAGGGGATCAAATACTTTTTTCCCTCACTGTAGGTTATTGTCCTGCTGAAAGGTGAATTCCTCTCCCAGTGTCTGGTGTAAAGCAGACTAAAGCAGGTTTTCCTCTAGGATTTTACCTGTGCTTAGCTCCATCCCGTTTCTTTTCATCCTGAAAAACTCCCCAGTCTTTGCCGATGTCAAGCATACCCATACCATGATGCAGCCACCACCATGCTTGAAAATAAGGAGGCAGTTACTCAGTGATGTGTTGTGTTGGATTTGCCCCAAACATAAGGCTTTGCGTGTTTTAATTTTTGTATTATTACTTTAGTGCCTTGTTGCGTACATATTCTGTATATTTGTATTCTTCTTTTCACTCTGTCATTTAGGTCATTATTGTGGTCACTACAATGTTGTTGATCCATCCTCAGTTTTCTCCCATCACAGCCATTGAGCTCTGTAGCTGTTTTAAAATCACCATCATGGTGACATCCCTAAGTAGTTTCCTTCCTGTCTTGCAGCTCAGTTCAGAGGGACGATGTCACGAGAATTTCTATCTCTAATCATAACTCAAGCTTTGAATAATTCCCAGAGGGTGTAAGGCTCTGGTTTAATAATGAATTAAACGAATTATCCAGTCTGCAAGAGATCAGCATTTTTATTCAGAGAGCGCTCTGGCACTAAAAACACACACAGCCTTTTTATATGCGTTTTCCCTCCAAGCCTGTTCTGCCAGGACTGGATACAACCTCTTTGTCCCCGGAGGAGCAGATGGGACCTTAACCTCCTCTTTACTTTCCTGCTCCCTTACTTCCTTTCTCTTGTTTCCTTCCACTCTCTTTCTAGCTTCTGATAACCATACCTTGGCTGTATCTACCCCCTCTGCCTGCTGTTTTTTCAGATCCATACCACAGTTTACATGCATCTGTTTAATCATAGACTCTATCTTGTCTACATCGAGACGTCCAATAAACCCATACTTTGTCTTCCATCTGGGTCCATTGTATATATATATTCCTTTTATCCTTTAACTCCATATACCTTTCATCCCCAGTTAATTCCCGGACCTCCTTTGAGGATTTACTTCCCGGATGTATCATCCGCCTGTGCACGGTTTTCGGTGTCCCCCGGAACGACAGAGAACGGGTATTGAGATCCAGCTCAAAGGACCAATTGTCACGAGAATTTCTATCTCTAATCATAACTCAAGCTTTGAATAATTCCCAGAGGGTGTAAGGCTCTGGTTTAGTAATGAATTAAACAAATTATCCAGTCTGCAAGAGATCAGCATTTTTATTCAGAGAGCGCTCTGGCGCTAAAAACGCACACAGCCTTTTTATATGCATCCACACAAAGGACTTTTCTCCGCCCACCTTTAGGTGGCCTGTAACTTTCCACAGTATAGAATGTTTCAGCAGTTTCTAGGTCCCCTTACTATGGAATGCTCGTCTCCAACAGTTTCTAACATCTTCCCTGTTAGTGGTTCTATTTTCTTATAACTCTAACACAGTTTACACATTTATACACTATCGGGGTGGAACACTTTAGTCATTATTCTACATTACACATACAAATTCCTCTATCAGACGACTGCATCTTTGATGTGTCTGGGTGGTTTAATACATCATCCACAGCATAAATATTAACTTGACCATGCTTAAAGATATATTCAATGTCTGATTTGTTATTGTTACCCATCTACCAATCACTGCCCTTCTTTATGAGGCTTTCGAAAAGCTCCCTGGCCTTTGTAGTTGAATCTGTGCTTGAAATTCAATACTTGACTGAGGGACCTTACAGATGTTGTATGTATGGGGGACAGAGGAAGGGGTAGTCATTCAAAAATCATGTCAACCCCTATTATTTCACACAGAGTGACCCCGTATAACTTATTATGTGATTTGTTAAGCCAGATTTGACATCTGAACTAATTTAGGCTTGCCTAAACAAAGGGGGTGAATACTTATGCAACGACTATATTTTAGTGATTACATTTATAAACATTTGGAAACATTTGTAAACATTTGTAGAATTTTATTTTCTCTTTGACATTATGGAGTATTTTGTGTAGATCAATGACAAAAAATGACAATGAAATATATTTAAATCCCACTTTGTAACGCAACAAAATGTGAAAAAAGTTCAAGGGGGTGTAGACTTTCTATAGGCACTGTATCTGGCTGCCATTTTAGCTAGAACAATCATAATAGGTCAAACTATAGCTTGTCATTTATATTTGTACTGTACCATTGTAACGTGGGGGATCAAATAATAAAGTGAACTCAGCCTGTTACCTATGGCAGAAACATACTGTATATTTGTTGAGACTGATCCCTGCCATTGTTCTGTCAGTATGCAGGGAAAGTTGACGAGAACATTGCTGATGTCATTGTGATGAGGATCAAAACAGTGGACAGAGATCTAGAACACACAGATAACTGGCGGGCTGTCTTTCACATCACTCAAGGCAACGAGGACGGACTCTTCTCCATCGAGACGGACCAAGACACCAATGAAGGCATTCTGAAGCTGATCAAGGTATGACTGGACTCTGAGACCTCACTCAATGTTGTTTGGACCTTTTGAGCTTATGTTATCTGACTGTATTTTCACATATGGTTTGAGTTGTCAAACTCAGTTCTGTAGATGCCTATTGATGCAGTATGTCTAAGAGTTTACTATATTATTTCCTCATCTCAAACCCACAGGCAGTAGATTTCGAGGAAGTCCAGAAACTGGAGCTTGGACTACTCATTGAGAACGTAGCTCCTTTTGTTGTAGGGAGTGCTGTAGCGATGGATGTGGATGTTTATGCTGGGGAGGGGGGAGGGCCGGGAGCTGGAGCTGGAGCTGGGGCTGGGGCTGGGGCAGGAGATGGGGCTGGGGCTGGGGCTGGGGCTGGGGCTGGGGCTGGGGCTGGGGCTGGGGATGGAGTTGGTGTTGATGTAGGAGTGGATGTTGGTGTAGATATTGGTGGAAATGTGGGGGTGAATGCAGGGGTGGATGTGGATGTAAATGCTGGAGCTGGGCCTGGGGTAGGTGGTGGGACTGGGGTTAAGCCTGGTCCCAATGGGAAGCTGAAACCAAAGCCGAAGCCGAAGCCTAAAGGGGGGAAGACCTACCCGATTTCGATCGCAATTAACAACATGCCGGAAGGTCCAGCATTTAAGCCCAGCACCAAGCCTGTGCCTGTCTCTGAGGATCCCAACAAAATGCAGAAGGATGGAGTGATCGCCTCATACCCTGCTGTGGACGGAGATACAGGGGAGCCTGCTGAGGACGTCAGGTTAGTGGGCTGACCAAGGAAACGACCAGAAACGGGTAAAACTGTGAGTCTGGTGATCAACAGTAATATAACAGTTAAGATGCCAAAAACACAAGAGGGTGACTCCTCACAAAACTAAAACTAAAAAACAAACATGTTTTTGAGGATTTTCACTAAATGTAATCCTCCTTTGGAGGAAGGATTGTTTACATATATTTGACATTTGCATCTTAAAGCATAATTGATTTAAATTAGAATATTAGTGACATTTTGGCCTTACCCAGGCCTCTTTGAGACTCCATGATGTAGGTGCTACAAAGCTAAAGTTGGTGTAGTATTTTGATTTCAATTACACATTTCTTACATACATTTATGAATATTGAAAACTATAAACATGAATATTGAAAATATAAAACATTTGATTTGACAAATGTTTCTATATATAGTTTAACATAATACTCTACGGGCATATCAAAGTTCCAGAGTGGGATCTCTGTTAGTTTTAAAGTTATGGCCCATTTTATACAGAGAAACTGGCATAGTAGGCATAGTAGGCAGTGTAACCAATCACATCCCTCCTTTTACTTGTATCATTGCACATCCTGCAAATGGCAACCATTTTGAATCCTTTTAACATTCACTCTGTTAGTAATGCTTACAAATTGGGTCATAACGCTAAAAGTAGCAGAGATCCCACTTTGATATGCATGTATATTATATTATGTTCAACAATATATTTACAAATTTGCCAAATATATAAAATTAGACTTAAAAAACAGATAAAAATACACCTTATGGAACAGTGGGGACTGTGAAGCAACACAAACATAGACACATGCATACAAACACACGATAACATACGCACTATACACACATGTACAGTTGAAGTCGGAAGTTTACATACACTTAGGTTGGAGTCATTAAAACTCGTTTTTCAACCACTTGTGCATGACACAAGTCATTTTTCCAACAATTGTTGTGAAATAAATAAAAGCTGAAATAAATCATTCTCTCTACTATTATTCTGACATTTCACATTCTTAAAATAAAGTGGTGATCCTAACTGACCTAAAACAGGGAATTTTTACTAGGATTAAATGTCAGGAATTGTGAAAAACTGAGTTTAAATGTATTTGGCTAAGGTGTATGTAAACTTCCGACTTACATTACATTAAAGTCATTTAGCAGACGCTCTTATCCAGAGCGACTTACAGTTAGTGAATACATATTTTTTTATACTGGCCCCCCGTGGGAATCGAACCCACAACCCTGGCGTTGCAAACACCATGCTCTATCAACTGAGCTACATCCCTGCCGGCCTTTCCCTCCCCTACCCTGGACGACGCTGGGCCAATTGTGCGCCGCCCATGAGTCTCCCGGTCGCGGCCGGCTGCGACAGAGCCTGGATGACTTCAACTGTACATATGGATTTAGTGTTATAGATATGTGGTAGTAGAGTAGAGGCCTGAGGGCACACACTTAATATGTTGTGAAATCTGTTATGAATGTATTGTAAAGTTTAAAAAATGTATAACTGCCTTAAGTTTGCTGGATCCCAGGAAGAGTAGCTGCTGCCTTGGCAGCAGCTAATGGGGATCCATAATAAATACAAATGTACAGATTAAACATTACGGAGTCTTAAACTTCAATGAAGTATTTACACTTTAAGATACAAATGTCAAATATACAGTACCAGTCAAAAGTTTGGACACACCTACTCATTCCAGGGTTTTTCTTTATTTTTACTATTTTCTACATTGTAGAATAATAGTGAAGACATCAAAACTAGGAAATAACACATATGGAATCATGTAGTAACCAAAAATGTGTTCAACAAATCAAAATCTATTTTATATTTGAGATTCTTCAAATAGCCACCCTTTGACTTGATGACAGCTTTGCACACTCTTGGCATTCTCTCAACCAGCTTCACCTGGAATGCTTTTCCAACAGTCTTGAAGGAGTTCCCACATATGCTGAGCACTTGTTGGCTGCTTTTCCTTCACTCTGCCGTCCGACTCATCCCAAACCATCTCAATTGGGTTGAGGTCGGGGGATTGTGGAGGCCAGGTCATCTGATGCAGCACTCATCACTCTCCTTCTTGGTCAAATAGCCCTTACACAACCTGGAGGTGTGTTGGGTCATTGTTCTGTTGAAACCCCCACACCATAACACCTCCTCCTCCATGCTTTATGGTGGGAAATACACATTCGGAGATCATCCGTTCACCCACACCGCGTCTCACAAAGACACAGCGGTTGGAACCAAAAATCTTCAATTTAAACTCCAAACCAAAGGACATATTTCCACCGGTCTAATGTCCATTGCTTGTGTTCTTGGCCCAAGCAGGTCTCTTCTTCTAATTGGTGTCCTTTAGTAGTGGTTTCTTTGCAGCAATTCGACCATGAAGGACTGATTCACACAGTCCCCTCTGAACAGTTGATGTTGAGAACTCTGTGAAGCATTTAACTCTAATGAACTTATCCTCTGTAGCAGAGGTAACTCTGGGTCTTCCATTCCTGTGGCGGTCCTCATGAGAGCCAGGTTCATCATAGCGCTTGATGATTTTTGCAACTGCACTTGAAGAAACTTTCAAAGTTCTTGAAATGTTCCGTATTGACTGACCTTGATGTCTTAAAGTAATGATGGACTGTCGTTTCTCTTTGCTTATTTGAGCTGTTCTTGCCATAATATGGACTTGGTCTTTTACCAAATAGGGCTATCTTCTGTATACCCCCCGTACTTTGTCACAACACAGCTGATTGTATCACACGCATTAACAAGGAAAGAAATTCCACAAATTAACTTTGAAGAAGGAACACCTGTTCATTGAAATGCATTCTAGGTGACTACCTCATGAAGCTGGTTGAGAGAATGCCAAAAGTGTGAAAAGCTGTCATCAAGGCAAAGGGTGGCTATTTGAAGAATCTCAAATATAAAATAGATTTTGATTTGTTTAACACTTTATTGGTTACTACATGATTCCATATGTGTTATTTCCTAGTTTTGATGTCTTCACTATTATTCTACAATGTAAAAAAATAGTAAAAATAAAGAAAAACCCTGGAATGAGTAGGTGTGTCCAAACTTTTGACTAGTACTGTATGTCAACAATCCTTTCTCCAAAGGACCGTTCTACTAAAATAACTTAGTGAAAATCCCAAATAGTGGTATTTTTTGTTCTAGTTTCATTAGGAATCACCCAAGAGTTAGTGACATATTCAGACTCCTAATGCATCTGTGAGTTGTTTCCTTCATATAAATCCACATTCCTTACTGCATTTTCCAGGTATGCCAAAGCCTATGACCCAGACAACTGGGTGACCATCGATGACAAGACAGCTGAGATCAGACTTATCAAGACGCCAGATCGAGAGTCTAAGTTCTTGGTGAATGGGACATACTTTGCCAAGATACTCTGCATTACTCAAGGTACTGTAAGATACTTTAGACGCTAGCTAGGGCTTAATACAGAAATGGACTAAAATACTATCTTCATTCTTCTTCATTCTTCTACATGAATATGAAAGTTAGCCTGTTAGAAGTTAGCCTCAACAGTAACTGTCATAAATACTTCTCATAATTAAAAATTATCTTCTTGTCTTGTTGTGCTGTTGGCCCCGGCCTTCTTGCCACTGAGTTTCTAATCTAATACAGCTGGGTGTGTTGCTCAACTCTCATCTTCCCTTAACAAGTTCAATGTTAATGAGAGCGGGTGGAAATATTTGCCCGGAGATAATTCATCTTGGAAAGCACAGCAGAGACAGGCCCTTTCAAACAGCTTAACTATTCAGGGTGTAGGCTCATTGCTCAACTAAGGGAATCAAATGTGATGACGATGGAGATATGCCTGTCAAAAATAACAGCATGAAGCAACACGTCTATCCATCAGAACTGAAAACTAATCAGAGTTTCTCCAGATAATAAAAATGGTTAGATATACAGTGCCTTCAGAAAGAATTCACAGCCCTTGACTTTCCAAATTTTGTTGTGTTACAGCCTGAATTTAAACTGGATTAAATTGAGATATTGTGTCACTGGCCTACACACAATACCCCATAATGTCAAAGTGGAGTTATAATTTAAAACGAAAAGCTGAAATGTCTTGATTCAATAAGTATTCAACCCCTTTGTTATGGCAAGCCTAAATAAGTTCAGGAGTAAAAATGTGCTTAACAATTTGCATGAACTCACTCTGTGTGCAATAACAGTGCTTAACATGATTTTTGAATGAGTACCTCATTTCTGTACCCCACACATAGAATTATCTGTAAGGTCCCTCAGTCGAGCAGTGAATTTCAAACACAGATTCAACCCCAAAGACCAGGGAGGTTTTCCAATGCATCGCATTGAATCTTTTACAAATGTTAGAATTTTTCTTCCACTGACATTACAGAGCATTTTGTGTAGATCGTTGACAAAACATGACAATTAAATCCATTTTAATTCCACTTTGTAACACAACAGAATGTGGAAAAAGTCAAGGGGTGTGAATACTTTCTGAAGGCACTGTAAATAAAAATTAAGATCCCAGAGCTACAATCTTAGAAAAAAAGGTGATATCTAGAACCTAAAAGTTTTTTTCTCGGATGTCCCCATAGGAGAACCCCTTTGAAGAACCCTTTTTGGTTCCAGGTAGAACCCTTTTCCCACTGGGAACACACTGGTTGAATCAACGTTGTTTCCACGTAATTTCAATGAAATAGCATTGAACCAACATGGAATAGATGTTGAATTGACGTCTGTGCCAAGTGGGTTGGTTCCAGGTAGAACCCTTTTGTGTTCCGTGTAGAATCCTTTCCACAGAGGGTTTTACATGGAACCCAAAAGCATTCTACCTGGAACCAAAAATTGTTCTCCTATGGGGACAGCCAAAGAACCCTTTTGGAACCCTTATTTCTAAGAGTGTATCAAACCAAAGTACTGTCCCTGCGGTAACACTTCACTCAATGCTGAAAGGTACAGTATAATGCAATATGATCCAGTTACAATGCATTATAAGACTTGTCATTAGCATGCCTGAAACTGTGCTCTATATGAGTTTGACTATGAAAACATGTATTGTTTTACAGATATGCCCTCTAAGACGGCCACGGGCACCATAGCCATCCAGGTCCAGGACTCCAACGACCACTGCCCCATGCTGACCACTACCTATGAGAGAGTGTGCTCGGGCAAACGTACAGTCAACGCCACTGCATTCGACGAGGACATCTCGCCCAATGGAGCTCCGTTCACCTTCACCGTGGTGGCTGAGGGGACACGTGGCAACTGGGAAATAGAACACATCAATGGTAAGAACAGTACAGGAAAATGTACAGTGCTTTCAGAAAGTATTCATACCCCTAGACTTTTTCCACATTTTGTGGTGTTACAGCCTGAATTTAAAATTGATTCAATTGAGATTTTTTTGTCACTGGCCTACACATAATACCCCATAATATCAAAGTGGAATTAGGTTTTTTGAAATGTGTACAAATTCATTAAAAATGAAAAGCTGAAATGTATTGAGTCAATAAGTAATCAACCCATTTGTTATGGCAAGCCTAAATAAGTTCAGGAGTGAATATGTGTTTAATAAGTGACATAATAAGTTGCATGGACTCACTCCGTGTGCAATAATAGTGTTTAACATGATTGTTGAATTACTATCTCATCTCTGCACCCCACATATACAATTAACTGTAAGGTCCCTCAGTCAAGCAGTGAATTTCAAACACAGATTCAACCACAAAGACCAGGGAGGTTTTCCAATGCTTCGCAAAGAAGGGCACCTATTGGTAGATGGGTAAAAAAAAGCAGACATTGAATATCCCTTTGAGCATGGTGAAGTTATTAATTACACTTTGGATGGTGTATCAATACACCCAGTCACTATAAAGATACAGGTGTCCTTCCTTACAAAGAGGAAGGAAACTGCTCAGGGATTTCACCATGAGGCTAATGGTGACTTTGAAACATTTACAGAGTTTAATGGCTGTGATAGAAGAAAACTGAGGATGGATCAACAACATTGTAGTTACTCCACAATACTAACCTAATTGACAGAGTGAAAAGAAGGAAGCTTGTACAGAACATATATTCCAAAACATGCATCCTGTTTCAACAAGGCACTAAAGTAATACTGCAAAAAAAATGTGGCATAGCAATTGACTTTTTGTCCTGAATAAAAAGTTTTATGTTTGGGGCAAATCCAATTCAACATATTACTGAGTACCACTCTCCATATTTTCAAGCATAGTGTTGGCTGCATCATGTGATGGGTATGCTTGTAATCGTTAAGGACTGGTGAGTTTTTCAGGATAAAAAATAAACGGAATGGAGCTAAGCACAGGCAAAATCCTAGAGGAAAATCTGCTTCAGTCTGCTTTCCACCAGACACTGGGAGATGAATTCACCTTTCAGCAGGACAATAACCTAAAACACAAGGCCAAATCTACATTGGAGTTGTTTACCAAGAAGACAGTGAATGTTCCTGAGTGGCCGAGTTACAGTTTTGACTTCAATCTGCTTGAAAATCTATGGCAAGACTTGAAAATGGTTTTCTAGCAATTATCAACAACCAGTGGTGTAAAGTACTTAAGTAAAAATAATTTTAAGTACTACTTAACTCGTTTTTTTTTGTATCTGTACTTTACTATTTATATATTTGACAACTTTTTGTTTTACTTCACTACATTCCTAAAGAAAATAATGTACTTTTTACTCCAGACATTTTCCCTGACACCCAAAAGTACTCTTTACTTTTTGAATGCTTAGCAGCACAGGAAAATGGTCCAGTTCACACACTTATCAAGAGAACATCCCTGGTCATCTCTACTGCCTCTGATCTGGCGGACTCACTGAACACAAATTCTTTATTTGTAAATGATGTCTGAGTGTTGGAGTGTGCCCCTGGCTATCCATAAATACATTTAAAAAATAAAATTGTGCCGTCTTTTTGGCTTAATATAAGGAATAAGATTTTAATACTTAAGTATATTTTAGCAATTACATTTACTTTGATGCTTAAGTATATTTTTACTCAAGTAGTATTTTACTAGGTGACTTTCACTTTTACTTCAGTCATTTTCTATTAAGGTATCTTTACTTTTACTCAGTAATGACAATTTAGTACTTTTTCCACCACTGTCAACAACCAATTTGACAGAGCTTGAAGAATTTTGAAAATAATATTGGGCAAATAATATTACCCAGAAAGTCTCACAGCGGTAATCGCTGCCAAAGGTGATTCTAACATGTATTGACTCAGGGGTGTGAATACTTATGTAAATGAGATATTTCTGTATTTCATTTAAATACATTTTAAAAACATTCTAAAAACATGTTTTCACTTTGTCATTATGGGGTATTGTGTGTAGATTGGTGAGAGAAAAACATTATTTAATCCATTTTGAATTTAGACTGTAACACAACAAGATGTGGAATAAGTCAAGGGTATGAATAATTTCTGATGGCACTGTATATACTGTCCATTGTCTAACTGTTTATCACTAGGAAGAGGAAGTAGACAATGCTGTTCTCTGTCCCCTTAACTGTTTGCACTAGCACTCAAACCCCTCACCCAAAAAATTATATTAAAATAAATTACATAAACGTAAGAGGTTACCAACATAAATTAAGTTGATATGCACTGTAATGATGCAGTGAGTCAAAACATTTCATCCATATTCATGGAGATGTTTCACAGTAAAGTATCTCTCTCTCCATCCCTCCCTATCCTAGGCACGACGGCTGTCTTGCGATCTATTGAGGCGTTGTGGCCGGGTGAGTATGAGGTGATGGTGGCGGTAGCAGACGAGCAGGGCCTGTCCTGCCCAGAGCCACAGGTGTTCAAGGTGGAGGTATGTACCTGTTCAGAGGGGAAAGACTGTGGCTCCAGGGCTATCAGTTTACTCCAGAAGACCACCTCCGCCAAAATTGGTACCCCCGCCATTGGACTGCTCATCATAGCCAGCTGTGTTCTGCTATGTGAGTTGGGCTATGCTAAAGACACTCATATTTCATATTGCACACACACACACACACACACACACACACACACACACACACACACACACACACACACACACACACACACAAACACACACACACACACACACAGTGAAGTCAAGTCATGCCTCACAAGTTTATTAGGAACACACGTCAGTTCAGATAGACACTCACACACGTGAGCACACACACATTTATACTCACCCTGATGTGTGTCTCCTTGTCTCTGTGTTTGCAGTGGTGCCTCTGCTGCTGCTGTTATGTCAGTGTAGGGGAGGAGCCTTCGCTGACCAGTTCACTGACCTGCCGTTCAATGCCAAGGAATACCTCATATCCTACCACACTGAGGGAAAGGGAGAGGATAAGGTGAGGCCTTATTCAAGTTCCCATATTGACATTGTAACTATTTTGTCCGTTTATATGTCAGTTATGAGACGTATAGCTATTATATGTAAAATCTTCACAATTACAAACATCAACATACTGTATGTTACATACATTTTTGATGCTTTTACGTTAATACACTACATACGTCGAAGATCTCATTACGAAATCATGGGCATTAATATGGAGTTGGTCCCCCTTTTGCTGCTGTAACAGCCTCCACTCTTCTGGGAAGGCTTTCCACTAGATGTTGGAACATTGCTGAGCGGACTTGCTTCCATTCAGCCACGAGCATTAGTGAGGTCGGGCATTTCTGTATGGACCTCGCTTTGTGCACGGGGGCATTGTCATGCTGAAACAGGAAAGGGCCTTCCCCAAACTGTTGCCACAATGTTGGAAGCACAGAATAGTCTAGAATGTACAGTAATTGTATGCTGTGGCATTAAGATTCCCCTTCACTGGAGCTAAGGGGCCTAGCCCAAACCATGAAAAACAGCCCCAGACCATTATTCCTCCTCCACCAAACTTTACAGTTGGCACATTCTCCTGACATCCGCCAAACCCAGATTCAATGGCGGCGAGCTTTACACCACTCCAGCTGACACCTGTAAGTCGCTTTGGATAAAAGCGTCTGCTAAATGGCATATTATTATTATTATTATTTATTATTACCTGGCATTGTGCATGGTGATCTTATGCTTGTGTGCGGCTGCTCGGCCATGGAAACCCATTTCATGAAGCTACCAACGAACAGTTATTGTGCTGACGTTGCTTCCAGAGGCAGTTTGGAACTCGGTAGTGAGTGTTACAACTGAGGACAGACTATTCTTTTTACACGCTACGCACTTCAGCACTCTGCGGTCCCGTTCTGTGAGCTTGTGTGGCCTACCACTTCGCGGCTGAGACGTTTTTGTTCCTAGACGTTTCCACTTCACAATAACAGAACTTACAGTTGACCGGGGCAGCTCTAGCAGGGCAGAAATGTGACGAACTGACTTGTTGGAAAGGTGGCATCCTATGACGAGCTCTTCAGTACGGGCCATTCTACTGCCAATGCTTGTCTATGGAGATTTCATGGTTGTGTGCTTGATTTAATACACCTGTCAGCAACGGGTGTGGCTGAAATAGCATAATCCTCTAATTTGAAGGGGTGTCCACATACATTTGTACGTAAAATAGGTTATTTTAAGATTATGTTGCATTCCCATGGTTATTCGAGATGTATCAACATGTCTGTTTGATTGTCTATTTGTTCTTTGTTTTTTTGTGTAGGAGATGCCCCTACTCAGTGTTCCTACAACTGGAACTGATGGAAGGGCTGCACTAGGAACACTAGGATCAGAATCAATTCAGGCAGCAAACATCGCCACAAAATCCTCACGTAATACTACAAACACTATACGCCAGACCAGTGGGGTCTCCAGTGAGGACATGCATACACTGCGCCGGGAGCAGAGCCACAGGCCTATGGGCATGGAGATGGGCTACACCTATGGACTCCAGAATTGTGGAAGCTTTGAGGCTAGTATGGGGCTGGGAAGCAACACAATGCTTTCCAGATATGCCACACATACCTCACATGTCAAACAAGACATCTATGAGGACATAGCACTCCCATGTGATTTCCTGGATGACTACTACTCACAGGTAAATGGGACAATACTGTATTTCAATAATGCGGAAACTTTTTAAAATGTCTTATATGACCACATTTGATTTAGGTCCCGAACATATACAACATTAGGTCTCGAGCATATACAATGTACAATCTAAGTTCTGATCACAAAAGGCATTCGCTATGTCACAAATGAGTCTCTCTTATTCCCTCATGCAGAAAGTGGCATGTGCATCTCAGAACCCTCCACTGAAAGACAGTATGTTGGTGTATGACTATGAGGGTCAGGGCTCTCCTGTGGGCTCGGTGGGATGCTGCAGCCTCCTGGAATCTGACAATGACCTCCAGTTCCTCAATGACCTGGGGCTAAAGTTCAAGACCCTGGCTGACATCTGCTCTCCTCCAAAACCTCAACCCAAACCTCAACCCAAACCCAGAATGGTGGAGTGCATCGTTGAGCCAAAACTCCCTGAAATCAAAAGAGAGAGCATCGTCACCACCAGCAATGTTAACATCACCAAATCTTCCGTTAGCAATGTCAATATAAACCAATCATCCACCAGCACCAGCAGAGTCAATATCTCCCAACCACCTCCCACCAGTCCCCCTGCCACTGGGGTTAGTAACTTCTCTAACGTTAGTCAGTCCGCCACTTTCCCACCCCCCCCTACCCAGACGATTCTGCTGCAGCAGCAGCCTATGTACTACACCACCATGCAGCCTTTGATGCAGCCCATGATGCAGCCCACGATGCAGCCCATTCAATATGTACTGGCTGATGGCGGCTCTGCCACCAACCTAAAGCGTATGGTAGTGCTCAACGGGCCCCCTGGGTCTGGAAGCATGGGAAGCCTGGGAGGCCTTGTCATCCAAGGCAACAGGGTCATATCAGAGACCTCCACTTGCCCTATCAGTCCCAGTAGCCCAGGAAGCCCCACCATGCTGGCGCTGGGTAGTCCCGGAAGCCCCGGGTGGATCCAAGGCTCCCTACGCAGGGGTGGCCTGGGAGGCCTGTCTGTAGTGGGGCACAGCCCTGATGGTAACTATGTTTACATGGAAAGGCAGGTTAATGTAAGTGGAGAGCCACAGGTGTGGTCTGGGGTCCCAGGTGTACCTTCTCAGGGCAGTTTGCCCAGGGGTGCGTTCCTGGTGAAGGAGGCTGCTCCCCCTCAGGGGGTTGTAGGCCTGGCAGCCCAGGGTGTGGGTGGGGGTGGTGGAAGTGTGTATGGTGTTATGCCAGGACACACCTTTACAAGGGTGAGGCAGGTTGGGGGTGGGCCTATTGGGGTTGGGCCGGTTGGAATGGGGCCTGGGGGGGTAGGGCAGATAGTTATAGGATCACAGGGAGTCCCAATGTGGGTGCCACAGAGCCCCCCAGGGGGTCGCCCTGGACAGAGGGAGGGGGCAGCGCCAACAGGTGAATCTCAACCGACTCCAGTTACTGTTGAAATACCAGAGTCAGTTGAGTCAGTGGCAGAGATTGAGAGGAAACTGGTGTTTGAGGGCCATGGTGAACCAGGTGAGCAAATAGAGGAGGAGGAGGAGGAGGAGGAGGAGGAGGAGGAGGAGGAGGAGGAAGAGGAGGAAATGGAGGAGGAGGACGAGGAAGAGGAGGAGGAGGAGGAAGAGGAGGAGGAGGAGGAGGAGGAAGAGGAGGAAATGGAGGAGGACGAGGAAGAGGAGGAGGAAGAGGAGGAGGAGGAGGAAGAGGAGCCTTTACAACAGACAACAGAAACAGCTGTGACTGAGGTTACTGAGGAAGAACCCGTAACTTTAGCGTTAGCCTCAGAGCCATCAACAGAACCGGTTGAGCCATCTGAGTCACTGGAACACAAACTAACAGACAAACCCACTGAGTCAAGCCATCCAACAGAGGAAGATGCATCAACTCAATTAAATAAAGTCTCTGGAGCTCTTGATGAAGAAGGCCTAGTTGACTCTGAGGACCAGCTGTCCGATGAGGATGTGTCCATGGTAGTCGAGGCCAAATCAGACATTATAGATTTAGTTGGTACAGATCAGCCAGCCGAGGAAGAAGACATTATAGATCTAGTTGGTACAGATCAGCCAGCCGAGGAAGAAGACATTATAGATCTAGTTGGTACAGATCAGCCAGCCGAGGAAGAATCAACAGAACAGATTCCGGAGGAGGAAGTGGTTTCAGAATCGCAGGAAGTTGAGCTAACGGTGGATCCAGTCACTAACGGTCAATTAGAGAAGGGTATTACTGAGACAAAAGAGATGATGGTATTAGAAGCACAGCAAGATCAGGTCACAGTTGATGACGTCACTGATAGCCAAGAGGAGGGTACATCTGAGGAGGAAGTGATGTCACAACTTCAGTTAGATGAGCTCACAGTAGATAGCCTCACAGATAACCAGAAAGAGGAGGGGAAAGCACCTGAGGAAGTTTTCTTAAAATCAGAATTGCTCATAGCAGCTTACAGTGCACTTGATGGCCAAGAAGAAGAGGGTAGTCCTGAGGAGGAATTGGTGTCAGAGTTGCAGCAGAATCAGACAATATCACATAGCGTCACTGATGTCCAGGAGGAGGGAAGTCAGGGAGATGCAGTGCTGAGTGTTCAGATAGGAGAGGTGGAGGGAGAGATGGAGGAAGAGGTGGAAGGAGAGATAGAGGGAGAGGTGGAGGAAGAGGTGGAGAAAGAGGTGGAAGGAGAGGTGGAGGGAGTGTTGATGAAGAGGTGGAAGAGGGGTAGGGATAGGTAGAGAGAGAATGTGGAGAGAGAGAAGGTGGAGGGAGGCGGAGGGAGAGGTGGAGAGGTGGAGGGAGAGTGGAGGGAGAGGGGGAGAGGTGGGGAGAGGTGGAGAAGAGGTGGAAGGAGAGGGTGGAGGGAGAGGTGGAGAAAGGGTGGGAGCGAGGGAGGAGAGGTGGAGGAGAGGTGGAGGAGAGGGGGGGAGAAGGGAGGGGAGGAAGAGTGGAGAGAGAGAGGGGAAGAGAGAGGTGGAGGGAGAGGGGGAAGGTGGAGGGAGAGGTGGAGGGGAGAGGGTGGAGGAAGAGGTGGAGGGAGAGGGTGGAGGTGGAGGGGAGGGTGAGGGAGAGGGGAGGAAGAGGAGGAGAGAGGTGGAGGGTGGAGGGAAGAGGTGGAGGGAGAGGTGAGGAAGAGTGGAGGTGGAGAGGGTGGAGGGAGGTGGAGGTGAGAGTGGAGAGAGGTGGAGGAGAGGTGGGGAAGTGGAAGAGTGGGGGAGAGGTGGAGGAGAGGTGGAGGGAGGGTGGGGAGAGGTGGAGGGAGAGGTGAGGGAGAGGTGGAGAGAGGGATGAGGGAGAGGGGAGGGGAGGATGGAGGAGAGGGAGGGAGAGGGGAGAGGAGGTAGGAAGAGGAGGGAGGGAGGTGGAAGGGTGAGGAGTGGAGAGGTTAGAGAGAGAGGAGAGAGGAGAGAGGTGGAGGAGAGGTGAGAGGTGAGGGAGGGGTGGGGCGGTGGGTCGGGTCGGCTGGGGGTGGGAACGGTGATGGTTTGGGGGAGTTTTTTCGTGGGTTGTTTTTTTTCGCCTCTTTGCTTTGGGGTTTTTTTGGGGGGGGTGCTTGGGGGTCCCGTATTCCTTTTGTCTTTGGTTTGGTCGTGGTGGGGGCCGGGGTCTGGGGGGGGGGGTGCCGTCCAAGGTGAGGAGGATGAGGGAGAGGTGGAGGAAGAGGTGGAGAAAGAGGTGGGAGGAGAGGTGGAGGGAGAGGTGGAGGGAGAGGTGGAGGAAGAGGTGGAAGAGAGTCTGGTCACCTCTCGCCAAATCGCTGAAGGCAAAACACTAAGAGTAGAAGTAGATGATAGTGAGAATGTAGCAGGAGAGGAGGTGGAGTCTGCTGTTGAGACAGTTGAGGAAGTGGAGGCTAGTGCTGACCAACAGACAGAGTCCACAGTAGCTACAGAAGAGGTTGAGTCCCCTAGCAAAGAACTGGCCGAGGAGCTAGAGGTGACCCCTTCAACACCAGAGGCTGCAGGTGAGGTTGCTGTTGAGGCAAGTGAGGCTATAAGTGCAGTGGCAGGTGCAGCAGTGGATGAGACAGTAGTGGAGGCTGCGGGTGAGACAGCAGGTGAGGCATCAAGTGAGGCCGCAGGGGCGGCTGGTAGGACAGAACAGGCCCCAAAGCCATTGGCTTCATCTTTCCGTAACAAATTCAGGATGGGCTCCAAGAAAGAATCTACTCCCAAGAGTCCAAAGAGTCCCACAGCAAAGTGCAAGCAACAGTGAGAGCTCTTTGCACTCACAGTCATAATGTGGAGAGAAGGAGTTTTTTTTGTATATATCTGTCTTTCTGTTAATAGGTTTTTGTTGATTGGTTTTGCTTCACAGGTTTATGTTTGTCAGTCATTGGTTTCTCAATCATGGATGATCTTTTATGTAAGTATGTTTGGTCTTTCAGTTTGTGTGGCTCTGGTCAAAAGTAGTGCACTGTATAGGGAGCCATTTGAGACACAAACTGTCTTAGGTCTGTGGTTCTCATAGGTGTCATAAAATATAATCTGTTATGATTCCCCTTGGGGCACTGAGAAAATCACAAACACGCAGAGACCTGCAGAGCGACTTCACACATTCACCACAAAACTCTCATCTCACTCTAACCATGAGTCAGAAAAATAGCACATGCACCTGTTACCACAGACTGTCATGTTTTACATGCAATTACTCTGATCAACTCTTTTAATACCTTTTAATACCATTATACATCACACCATCTCTTCTACAGTCTGTTTCTCCTTTTTTCCTACATACAGTAAGGGAAAAAAGTATTTGATCCCCTGCTGATTTTGTACGTTTGCCCACTGACAAAGACATGATCAGTCTATAATTTTAATGGTAAGTTTATTTGAACAGTGAGAGACAGAATAACAACAAAAAAATCCAGAAGAATGTCAATAATGTTATAAATTGATTTGCATTTTAATGAGGGAAATAATTATTTGACCCCTCTGCAAAACATGACTTAGTACTTGGTGGCAAAACCCTTGTTGGCGATCACAGAGGTCAGACGTTTCTTGTAGTTGGCCACCAGGTTTGCACACATCTCAGGAGGGATTTTGTCCCGCTCCTCTTTGCAGAACTTCTCCAAGTCATTAAGGTTTCGAGCCTGATGTTTGGCAACTCGAACCTTCAGCTCCCTCCACAGATTTTCTATGGGATTAAGGTCTGGAGACTGGCTAAGCCACTCCAGGACCTTAATGTGCTTCTTCTTGAGCCACTCCTTTATTGCCTTGGCCGTGTGTTTTGGGTCATTGTCATGCTGGAATACCCATCCACCACCCATTTTCAATGCCCTGGCTGAGGGAAGGAGGTTCTCACCCAAGATTTGACGGTACATGGCGCCGTCCATCGTCCCTTTGATGCGGTGAAGTTGTCCTGTCCCCTTAGCAGAAAAACACCCCCAAAGCATAATGTTTCCACCTCCATGTTTGACGGTGGGGATGGTGTTCTTGGGGCCATAGGCAGCATTCCTCCTCCTCCAAACACGGCGAGTTGAGGTGATGCCAAAGAGCTCGATTTTGGTCTCATCTGACCACAACACTTTCACCCAGTTCTCCTCTGAATCATTCAGATGTTCATTGGCAAACTTCAGACGGGCCTGTATATATGCTTTCTTGAGCAGGGGGACCTTGCGGGCGCTGCAGGATTTCAGTCCTTCAAGGCGTAGTGTGTTACCAATTGTTTTGTTGGTGACTATGGTCCCAGCTGCCTTGAGATCATTGACAAGATCCTCCCGTGTAGTTCTGGGCTGATTCCTCACCGTTCTCATGATCATTGCAACTCCACGAGGTGAGATCTTGCATGGAGCCCCAGGCCGAGGGAGATTGACAGCTCTTTTGTGTTTCTTCCATTTGCGAATAATCGCACCAACTGTTGTTTTTACCTTCTCACCAAGCTGCTTGGCGATGGTCTTGTAACCCATTCCAGCCTTGTGTAGGTCTACAATCTTGTCCCTGACATCCTTGGAGAGCTCTTTGGTCTTGGCCATGGTGGAGAGTTTGGAATCTGATTGATTGATTGCTTCTGTGGACAGGTGTCTTTTATATAGGTAACAAACTGAGATTAGGAGCACTCCCTTTAAGAGTGTGCTCCTAATCTCAGCTCGTTACCTGTATAAAAGACACCTGGGAGCCAGAAATCTTTCTGATTGAGAGGGGGTCAAATACTTATTTCCCTCATTAAAATGCAAATCAATTTATAACATTTTTTACATGCATTATTCTGGATTTTTTTGTTGTTATTCTGTCTCTCACTGTTCAAATAAACCATCCATTAAAATTATAGACTGATCATTTCTTTGTCAGTGGGCAAATGTACAAAATCAGCAGGGGATCAAATACTTTTTTCCCTCACTGTAGTTCCCACTCCTGTTCTAATCGCTCCTCTAGTGGTTATGACAGGGCATTGTAGGTTGTAGAAGCCAAATGTATCTATTTTCAATGTTCTGCAGAGTAGTGAACAGGCAAAATTACTGCTTTATGAACCAACCTTTAGAACTTGGCAGATGGGAAATATAGATCAGTTTTTTCTGTTTATAGGTCTTTGTTCATTGGTTTTGCTTCACAGCTATATGTTTGTCAGTCATTGGTTTCTCAATCATGGTTGACCTTTTATGTAAAGCAGTATGTTTGGTCTTTCGGGTTTTGTGGTATGTGGTCTTATTTCAGCCTTACTACAAAGTAAACGGGTGTCAGCTTTTTTCAAACAGAAACTACCTAAATATCATTATTGTAAATCATAAGACATTAGAGTGGGGTATGCTGAGATACAAGCCTGCACTTGTATGGGGGAAAATAAATGTGAAAAATAATACCTACATCATCATACACTATAGCACTGGGAATCACTACACAGACACCAACACAGACATCATTGTTTTTGTTATTGACCACATCAATTGACAATTAATTATATTATAGAAGTAACTAACTTGATGAAGTTAACAATGATGGAATGCCAACGATGGTTTGATGTTTGGAACTTCTGAAGTTGAATGTTTTGTCTCCTTTTTTTAACAAATATAATAAATGAAATACATTTTCTGAACATGCTTATTAAATAAATGTTGTTTTGGTGAAAAAATGCGGAGATAATTATTAATGCGCATTAATCTATTTTATAGCCAGTGTTGTTTTTCTCTGTTGTCAGTTCCAGCTCAATAAACTGCTGAGTGTGTATACGTCCCAAATGGCACTGTCACGTTCGTTCTGAAAAGCGGACCAAGGCGCAGCGTGATAGGCGTACATACTTTATTTCTAGTGCACACACGAACCAAAACAATAAACAAACGATACGTGAAGTCCTAGGTTAATAACACAAACCTTAACGGAACAAGATCCCTCAAATTAACAGTGCCAGGCTGCCTAAGTATGGTCCCCAATCAGAGACAACAAGCTACAGCTGCCTCTGATTGGGAACCACCCTGGCCAACATAGATATACACGAACTAGAACACAAACCTAGAAAACCAAACAATAGAAAATCCACACCCTGGCTCAACATTTAATAGTCCCCAGAGCCAGGGCGTGACAGGCACCCTATTCCCTTTGTAGTGCACTACTTTTGACCAGGGCCTATAGGGCTCTGGTCAAAAGTAGTGCACTATATAGGGAATAGGGTGTCGTTTGAGACGCAAACTGTCTTAGGTCTATGGTTCTCATAGGTGTCATAAAAGATCATGTCTATTATGAGTCCCCTCGGGGCAGTGAGAAGAGAAGCAGTAAAACAAACATGAAGAGACCTGCAGGGCGACTTCACACACTCACCACAAAACTCTCCAACCACGGGCCAACAGATACACTTCTCAATAGCACATGCACCTGTTGCCACAGACTGTCCTGTTTTATATGGAAATACTCTGATATACTCTTCTGCATACATTTGACCTTTTAACACATTTATACATCACACCCTCTCTTTTACAGTCTGTTACTCCCTTTTTCCTTGATCATATCCTACTCCTGTTCTAATAGCTCCTCTAGTGGTTATGACAGGGCATGGCAGGTTGAAGAAGCCAAATGTATCTATTTTCAGTGTTCTGCAGAGTAGTGAACAGGCAAAATTGCTGCTTTGTGAGCCAACCAGAACTTGGCAGATGGGGAATAGTGATCAGTGTCTGTTCTATACTATACATTTGTATCTGTATGTCAGCCTCTGAACATTCCAACATACTGAATCGTGGTCGTGGTCAAAAGTTTTGAGAATGACACAAGTATTGGTCTTCACAAAGTACGCTGCTTCAGTGTTATGAGATATTTTTGTCAGATGTTACTATGGTATACTGAAATATAATTAAAGTATTCCGTAAGTGTCAAAGGCTTTTATTGACAATTACATTAAGTTTATGCAAAGAGTCAATATTTGCAGTGTTGACCCTTCTTTTTCAAGACCTCTGCAATCCACCCTGGCATGCTGTCAATTAACTTCTGGGCCACATCCTGACTGATGGCAGCCCATTCTTGCATAATCAATGGTTGGCGTTTGTCAGAATTTGTGGGTTTTTGTTTGTCCACCCGCCTCTTGAGGATTGACCACAAGTTCTCAATGGGATTAAGGTCTGGGGAGTTTCCTGGCAATGGACCCAAAATGTCAATGTTTTGTTCCCCGAGCCACTTAGTTATCACTTTTGCCTTATGGCAAGGTGCTCCATCATGCTGGAAAAGGCATTGGTCGTCACCAAACTGTTCTTGGATGGTTGGGAGAAGTTGCTCTCGGAGGATGTGTTGGTACCATTCTTTATTCATGGCTGTGTTATTAGGCAAAATTGTGAGTGAGCCCACTCCCTTGGCTGAGTAGCAACCCCACACATGAATGGTCTCAGGATGCTTTACTGTTGGCATGACACAGGACTGATGGAAGCGCTCACCTTGTCTTCTCCGGACAAGGTGTTTTCCGGATGCCCCAAACAATCGGAAAGGGGATTCATCAGAGAAAATGACTTTACCCCAGTCCTCAGCAGTCCAATCCCTGTACCTTTTGCAAAATATCAGTCTGTCCCTGATGTTTTTCCTGGAGAGAAGTGGCTTCTTTGCTGCCCTTCTTGACACCAGGCCATCCTCCAAAAGTCTTCGCCTCACTGTGCGTGCAGATCCACTCACACCTGCCTGCTGCCATTCCTGAGCAAGCTCTGCACTGGTGGTGCCCCGATCCCGCAGCTGAATCAACTTTAGGAGACGGTCCTGGTGCTTGCTGGACTTTCTTGGGCGCCCTGACGCCTTCTTCACAACAATTGAACTTCTCTCCTTGAAATTCTTGATGATCCTATAAATGGTTGATTTAGGTACAATCTTACTAGCAGCAATATCCTTGCCTGTGAAGCCCTTTTTGTGCAAAGCAATGATGACGGCACGTGTTTCCTTGCAGGTAACCATGGTTAACAGAGGAAGAACAATGATTTCAAGCACCACCCTCCTTTTAAAGCTTCCAGTCTGTTATTCTAACTCAATCAGCATGCCAGAGTGATGTGTTAATGAGAGAATCACTGACATGATGGCGGCTGAAATGTTTTGGGGGGATTAAGTTCATTTTAATGGCAAAGAGGGACTTTGCAATTAATTGCAATTCATCTGATCACTCTTCATGACATTCTGGAGTATATGCAAATTGCCATCATCAAAACTGAGGCAGCAGACTTTGTGAAACATTTTATTTGTGTCATTCTCAAAACTTTTGACCATGACTGTAGGCCTCCCCGGGTGGTTTATCGCTAAACAATATGAGCTATATATGCTTTGGCTCCATCTGCAGGCAAAATGTAAGAAGATACCGTATGACAGTAGCTTGACACATTACAGTACACTAACCCTCTCTATCAATAGTGAAGAGAGGAGAGGAAGTATTGGAACAGGACAATGTTATAAAATAACTTTGTCAAGAGATATCTAGGGCCTTGGGTGATTATTTTCTTATTCATTATTGAGGAGTCAATCTGTCAATCTGTCATCTTTAGGAAAAAAACGTTTTTGTTTTACTTCAAGAGCTGTACTTGTAATACTACTGTGTATCTTAGTGTATCCTCCAGAACCTGGATGTAGGAACACTTAAACACTGGTCTAACATAATGTGTGTTATTGTGTATAGAGAGCATGTTGGCCAAGGTCCCTCTGGGTATTAGAACAAAGGGAAGCATGACCAAATGACTTACTGCCTACTACAGTTTGTGTCGTATTTGAGATTGGTTTGAAGTACTCTGAATCTTTATTTGTTTGGCAGTGATGTGTATAATGACAGACAGCAGATACTTTTGCTAACATTCTGCAATGTAATTTCACCTAATGACATGTAAATCTGGGTCTGGGCATTGAGAGAAAGTGGTTTGTAATTCTATCTCCGGGTTAATTAAGGTGACATTTATTTCCGCTGCTGGATTGGACCCATCCATTGTTGTTCCAGGTTAGACTAATCTGTAATCTTAGAAGACTGGCACCTACGTTATCCTCTTATCCTCTTTCTAATCCCATTTTTATAAGATGGCCACAAAGCATGATTTGTGTGTGAGAGTTACTGATTCCCTCATTATTGACTTAGTCAATAGATGCAGGCACCGGCTTCCCTGGTCAGGCACCGGGCGGGTGGGGGGGTGGGAGTTTGAGTGTATAAAGGTACCAGATAGGGGTGTGTTGCCCAATTCTATGTCAGTCAGTCAGTCAGTCTATAGGTTTGCCTGTGTTAGAGCCGCCAACCAGTTATTGCTCCAAATGGACAGTTCACTGCTCTGTGTGCTGCTAGCCTCTGCTGTCCTCCTCTGTAGCACTGCCCCAGTGGTGAGTACGTGTGGGCATTTGTCTGTCTTTGTCAGGGGTCACAGTACCATTCAGTGTGGGCTTGTCAGGGCATGTTGTCAGGGCATATTAAACCAAACGGTTGTACTACGGACAGATGTAAAGGTTGTTCTTTAGCGATCCTATATAGGTGGTGACTACTGTACTTGTAATACTACTGTATATCTTAGTGTATCCTCCAGAACCTGGATGTAGGAACACTTAAACACTGGTCTAACATAATGTGTGTTATTGTGTATAGAGAGCATGTTGGCCAAGGTCCCTCTGGGTATTAGAACAAAGGGAAGCATGACCAAATGACTTACTGCCTACTACAGTTTGTGTCATATTTGAGATTGGTATGAAGTACTCTGAATCTCTATTTGTTTGGCAGTGGCGTGTATAGTGATAGACAGCAGGTACTTTTGCTAACATTCTGCAATGTAATAACTATGCAATTCAAATCATAGATAACAATATGCAAGATAGGGAAGCTATGTAAACTGATTAGGTTTGTTAGCTGTGTAAACGTACAGTACTAGATCATAAAAAGTCATTCCTAGAATATGAAACATTTGCGCAGTTGTTTGTGTTTGAAGTTGAGATATTAGATGCCAGTGTTGGGGAGTAATGAACTACATATAGTTCAACTAGTAATTTAACTACATTTTGCAGTAGCAAATGTAGAGGTTTAGCTAACTACTGGAACTACACACTACTTTTTCTGCAAAAATAAAATAAAGGTGAAGTAGACAATCATTTCTCTATGTTTTGCCATCAGACCTGCATAACTGTCACTTAAAACATTGTTTTTGTGTTTAATCGGCCAAATTACACTTTCTGTTAACATCTGAGTCCAGAGTGATCTGTTCTTGCAATTTGTAATCTATGACATTTCAAATGTAGATATGATAATTTATCACAAAGTAGTTCAGATGATGTGAACTACCTTTTCACAGTAACTTTAGTTAAGTAAACTATATTTTTCTTAAGGGTAGCTTTAGTGTAGGTAGTTTAACTTATTCCAGTGTGAAGTAATTGGTAGCTTGGTAAACTATATTTTCAGAGTAGCTTCCCCAACACTGTCAGATGCTATCAGCATCTTTGTGTGTGTGTGTGTGTGTGTGTGTGTGTGTGTGTGTGTGTGTGTGTGTGTGTGTGTGTGTGTGTGTGTGTGTGTGCGTGCATTACGGGCAGTAGTGTTTACCATCAGTATGTTTTCTCTGGTCCACATCCGCACTTTGACCTTCTTGTCCTCCAACTACACTGGAATTTTGACAAAAATCAGCTGGAAAGAGTAGTCCTCACTCTTTCCTCCTCCATTTTACATGGGAGCACTGGAACAGACAAAGTTCCTGTTATCCCTTGCCTATGCTTACCTACCATTTTCTATCCTCAAAATCCAAAGCTCAGACATTACAAAATGGCACAGTTTTGTAATGTCTTACTTTGTCAGATACTTTCATACTTAGAAAGTCGAGCCCATATTCCAAGCCTTCTATTTCATGACTGGTTTTATCTCTTGTGAAAGCCGTAACATCATTTATTTGGTTCTGAGTGCCGAGATTACGACTGGTTAAATGTTTCTAACCATGGTATAGGTCTGTGTGTACCTCATTTCTGTGGCTATTATCTGACCTGTAGTCTGACCTCTACTAGCAGCCTTGTCTGACCAGTAGTGATGACAGAATGCATTACTTTAGGTTACTGTCTTTCTGTCTGCCATGTCTGTATTTCTGACCCTGTTGGCAGAGTTGTTCCTTACGAAAAAGATTGCAGTCAGAGTGCAGTATAACTGCAGTATGCTGCAAATACAGTATTACTGCAGTAATTTTGCAGTGTAACTGCAGTTAGAGTGCAGTATAATTCTGCAATTACTGTGTCCAAAATACCAGTCGACTGCAGTTACTGCACTTTTACTGCAGTTTCAAAACTGCACTTTTTTTTGTAAGGGGTGTTGTGTCTGGCTGGCATAGCCACATGGGTGTGCCAATGCTTGGCGCCAACTGATGGTTAAAAGTTCAGAGTTACTTTTTGGCTATCTGTCTGTCTGTCTGGCTAGCCATGGGTGTTTATATTTGTGTTGTCAGTCTTCCCAGTGTCCAGGATGTTGTTTCTAGTGTTTTTTTTTGTACACTAGGCCCTGTGTTATGTGTATTGTTAGTTATGATTGTGTTAAGTCTTGAATGACTGTGATACTGTGTGCATTGTGTGACGGTTGGTTTGTTGTTTGTGCTCCAGCCAGTTCATGGATTGTATTATAGTTATAACCATGGTTGTGGTTTGTGGTCCAGGACAAGCACGGGGAGTCAGACACTCACTGCCCGTTGATGGTGAAGATTTTGGATGCGGTGAAGGGTGTACCAGCGGGCTCCGTGGCACTGAGTGTCTCCCGACGAGTCAATGGAATGACCTGGGCACAGGTTGCTAGTGGGTACGTATGAGGATGCACCACTGTTTGGGCAATGTTGTTAACTGACTTATTTAAACTAATATAATATGCATTCTGAAGGATTTTTAAACCAATTTCATCATTAAATGTGTCATGACTTGCCCTCATGGGCTGAGGATCAAAGATGCCGGCTAGGCAAAGGTTTGAACACCCCCTCTTCTGGAGGCCAGTTTTATGACCGGTCGTAAATTCCTTGCAGAAACGTTAATTTCCATGCCATGCAGTATTGGGAGAGGGAATTTCCCTGTTGAACAAAGGAAGTCTTCCCGCCAAGACTGCAACATCCAAAAGTGGATAATGAAACAATATTCCTACTTAAATTAATGTGGGAAATGGTCGGTGGGGATTTAAAGAACAATCATGTCAAATTCGTTACTATGTTGTGATGTCATTAAAGACGGTGGAACAACATAACTGTATCTCTGGGGGTGTACACTTCCCAGTTATGAGGTTTGCATCTAATTGTTGTATAAAACGAATGATTATGTATAATAATACTTTTGTGAAGATAACAATGTGATTTTAGCATTCTAGATGAGATTATTGTTTTCCCTATTGATTTGTTCTCAGTCAGTGGCCACGCCCAGATGAGCACAAACATGATGGAACGCCCCTTTTAACCTGAGTGCATAAAAAGCCTTGAAAAACAAATTAATATTAGACCAGCAGATGCGAAGCTAGAGCTAAACGTTACAAAATGGTTTAAAACTCCATTGCCAAAGGAAGACCAAGCAGATTACGGTATAAGCCGGATGTTGCAAATGGTTGAATTTCTACCAGACCAGGAAGCGTGAAGCTGAAGCAACACGTTACAAAATGGTTAGACCAGAAAACATGAGACGTTAGTCCACACGTTTGAAATGAAGAAACTCTGAAACTCTCAACCTCTACACGAGGTGAAGAAGAAGACAATGCACTAGACCTTATCATCTCAGTCTGCAGCTGGCATGTATAGTCGTCTAGAGAACATTCACTAAAGACACGAGTTGGGAAGGACAATCCCTCTCAGACAACCGTTGGTACATCTGAAGTATCTATTCTAACAGATAAATTCTACGAACTACAGGGTACGTTGAAGTATTCATTCTAACCACCACTACGACCAGAAACTCTATCAAGGACATTGGGATCTCTGGTGGGCAAACCAGAGTCCTACATCATCAACTCAACTATCGAGGACAGCTACACGTAAATACATGTTGCATTTCTAATCCGAATGAGCAGGTGCTAAGCATTTGTATTTCCGTGAGCGTAGTTAAGAAATGTCCGATAGGTGAATTCCTTTGTCTCTTCCTTTCCCCCCCTCTCTGAATCAGCCAACCCTCCTTCTACCCAAGCTGATTAATCAATAATGTTAGGGTTCTTGCAGGTTCAAGGATTATGCGACGTTCAGAATGAGACTGACAAGAGGCAATTATTTCATAAGTGACTTTTATCGATATATAACATATATATCTTCTAAAAGTTTAATTCGGGAGATGGTAACTTCTTCCGTGGTGCCCCAAATTCCTAATGAGTTAATTGTTACATGATTAATTTAATCGAGTGACAATTAAACATAGTTCGGTGATTCGATAAATAACAGTCGCCATATTAAAGTAAGTCACATCAAATCAAATCAAATTTTATTGGTCACATGCGCCAAATACAACAGGTGCAGACATTACAGTGAAATGCTTACTTACAGCCCTTAACCAACAGTGCATTTATTTTTAACAAAAAAAGTAAAAATAAAACAACAACAAAAAAAGTGTTGAGAAAAAAAGAGCAGAAGTAAAATAATATAACAGTAGGGAGGCTATATATACAGGGGGGTACCGGTGCAGAGTCAATGTGCGGGGGCACCGGCTAGTTGAGATAGTTGAAGTAATATGTACATGTGGGTAGAGTTAAAGTGACTATGCATAAATAATTAACAGAGTAGCAGCAGCGTAAAAAGGATGGGGTGGGGGGGCAGTGCAAATAGTCCGGGTAGCCATGATTAGCTGTTCAGGAGTCTTATGGCTTGGGGGTAGAAGCTGTTGAGAAGTATTTTGGACCTAGACTTGGCACTCCGGTACCGCTTGCCATGCGGTAGCAGGGAGAACAGTCTATGACTAGGGTGGCTGAAGTCTTTGACAATTTTGAGGGCCTTCCTCTGACACCGCCTGGTATAGAGGTCCTGGATGGCAGGAAGCTTGGCCCCAGTGATGTACTGGGCCGTACGCACTACCCTCTGTAGTGCCTTGCGGTCGGAGGCCAAGCAGTTGCCATACCAGGCGGTGAGGCAACCAGTCAGGATGCTCTCGATGGTGCAGCTGTAGAATTTTTTGAGGATCTGAGGACCCATGCCAAATCTTTTCAGTCTCCTGAGGGGGAATAGGCTTTGTCGTGCCCTCTTCACGACTGTCTTGGTGTGTTTGGACCATGATAGTTCGTTGGTGATGTGGACACCAAGGAACTTGAAGCTCTCACGACAAATGTTATGATTCTAATCTATAAAATAGTTTTCAAACTGTGACACCCATCTCTCTCTCTCTCTCAGAGTGACAGACTTGACAGGGGAGGTCCATAATCTGATCTCAGAGCAGGACTTCCAGTCGGGGGTGTACCGTGTTGAGTTTGACACTAAGGCCTACTGGAAGTCTCAGGGAACCACGCCTTTCCACGAAACTGCTGAAGTGAGTACAATCCTTAACCTTTAACCCTCTCACTGCTCTCAGAGACCTAGGACAAACTAAGGTTGTGTAGCATGATGTACTACAGTACACTTTTAGAAAAAAGGGTTCCAAAAAGGTTATACGGCTGTCCCCATAGGCGAACCCTTTTGGGTTCCATGTAGAACCCTCTGTGGGGACAGCCGAATAACCCTTTTAGGTTCTAGATAGCACCTTTTTTTCTAACAAGTGTACCTGAAATTCCTCCTACTGGGCACAGACGCTAATTCAATGTTGGTTCCACGTTGGTTCAACGTAATTTCATTGAAATGACGTGGAAACGTTGATTCAACCATTGTGTGACAAGTGGGCTGTAACCATATCCGTAAAAAAAAAAATCTTACTATGGTGTCCCGTCTCCTTATTAATACAGATTGTACAACTGTACATGTCCCGTGTAGCTCAGTTGGTAGAGCATGGTGCTTGCAACGCCAGGGTTGTGGGTTCGTTTCCCACGGGGGGCCAGTATGAAAATGTATGCACTCACTAAGTCGCTCTGGATAAGAGTGTCTGCTAAATGACTAAACTGTAACTGAATGGTTGTGTGAACATTTTGTGCAGAAATATTCATCAAAAATATCTGTCAAATCGATTGTACAACATGTGTGTAGTAGGCCAGACAGTGGACATTTGCAACTCAGTAACGTGCCTAAAGACTATATTACATCTACAACTACACCAGTTTTTTCACCATAGATAAACAGAAATGACTCACCATGGAAAGTAGACTAACCATATAAACATTTGGACCTAAAAATCAGAGACAAAATAATTTGCAGGCTAAAGGGAAAAGAAAATAATCGAAAATGTGACAATAATATCCCTTATATTATGAATTATATGAAATGCAATGCCATGATGTGATTAAATTGCTTAAGCCAGCACACTGGCTTTGACCTGTATCAATATATTTTTGTTTGCTACTCTACAATGTTGTTTGTCCTCAATGGAAAGAGTTCACAGACCTAGCTGGAAAAAAGTAATCTGTCTTCCTGGATGTTGGTCTGTGGGAGTGAATTCATAGAAGTAAAATAGCAGTACAAACTGATGTGCCGTGCGTGTACAGGTGGTGTTCGAGGCCCACGCGGAGGGACATCGTCACTACACCCTGGCCCTGTTGCTGAGTCCCTTCTCCTACACTACCACAGCTGTCGTGATGAACGCACACGAGTGACACAACACACCTGATACACACCTGACCAAACTTAACAAATAAAGAGCAGGTAAACGACTGACTGAGCCTTCCTTTGTTTAACGTACAATGCCACAAGCATTCACCAACATACTCACATTCAGACATTCATCATTGTCTAACTACATATAGCGTGACAACTGTCTGCACTGATCGGCTGAAGGACGAGCGTCTCGTATGAGTACCAGCCACCTGCCGGAAGATCATTTACATTCATGGATTAGTTCAGCTCCCTTCTATAAGCTACTGTGTAGGTTTACTATGGTAATGAAAGTGAATAATAGTGGTGATGGTTAATCAGTGGGTAGCCTACAGGTACTGTACAATGCAACTTGTTAAGCATGTATTGTATTACACACAGTTACTTCTCCATGTACAGCCTTTTGACAATGTTATTATAATGCTGAGTTCATAACCAAGTGGGAAGGTGGTATTTACCACATACGACTGCGAAAACTCCACTTTAACACCCCTCCAACTGGTAATTACTACTGGGAACCTCGTCTCTCATCTCTGAGCTCCGACTTCTCCCACATACTGACCTCTGACATCACCTACTAAGGAAATGCAGTTAAATGCAACAAAACATTATTTATAAAAAGCTATCTATTAATATGGTTTTTGAAAATTAATTTGTTTAAAAGCATGATAGTTGTACTTTTAGTTAATGGTTGACGCAGCTTGTTGGCCATTAGCCATTTTGCGTTTCTCAACAAGTTAAGCACATGAATTCATCCAACTGGTAATTACCACTTTCCCACCTGGTTATAAACGCAGCATAAGAACCAGTGGTGAGAGATGCAGAGAAAGAACACATTTTTTAAAAAATACATAAGACTTCAGAGGTGTTTCCCAGAACCTGGCAATGAAGTTGTTTATTCATCTTTTGTTGACAAAAAGAAAAACAACTTTACAAAGTCTAACAGTTCAACTCTAGTTGACTCTTTCACTGGCTGTTATACCAAAGATTGTGGAAGATTGACAAGATGGCTAACCGGTCGGCTTCACCATGTAAAAAGTTGTCTGTTATGTCGGGGGGGTTGGTTCTATAGCACATGATTATAGCCAACGAAATTGCAGAACAAGACAGAGCTGCGAGACTCTGTGTAGCGCATGAGTAGGCGCTACAACGAATTAAGGTATTTTACGTCCAATCAACAAGGTGTTAAAGTTTATATTTTCACAAATGTATCCTCCGAACAATCTAAGAATTACAAACCCATAAAGTCTAAATGAATATGCCTGACATTGAATGAGAATTTATGATTTGTAGACTAGATGACACTTTATTCCGATAGACTGGCATTCAAAAGTCACTACTTCCTCTGCGTCATCCTGCACTTCCTGGCGGACAGCATTAACGCAAGAGTCTGCCCTCTGGCTCCAGTTATGACTCTTTGTTCAGACAGAGCAGAGCATATTGAGGGAGACCGGAGAGCTGAGGGTTCAAGAGGATTGTACATGGTCCAAGCAGCCAGACCTCTGATTGGACAGCAGAAACATTGGATAGGGCCAATCATTAATACACACCTACTCAGCCCATTGTCATGGAAACGTATCATGCGTCTTAATCAGAGCTCCCAACTGAATAAAACAAATCTAAAGTTAGAACAAACGTGCACTCTAACTTCAGTTTAAAAACAATCCAAACCTTTACTGTATCTTTCAACCAAGAATGCAAAGTGAAAACAGTACAAAATAAAAAAGAAATTTAAAAAAAGAAACAAGGCACAAATATGAATACTGCAAAAATGTAATACTCTACATTACTAATAGTGTAATGGTGAATATAGTCATTTGAAAATAAATATATATGTTTGGATATTTGAACAACCAATACAGAGGCAGTAGGAAGGGTGAGGGGGGGGTCCTTTCCCCCCTCCCAGGTAGGCTGGGGGTGTAAACCAAACCACTAGTGACCGGGTGTAGCCAGCACACTGCCCAGCAGCCCCCTAACCTACCCTTCCTTCCCTTCCTCACCCCCCACTCCCCTTAGAGGCAATAACAATAAATATGTACAACTCAGAGGGTGTGGCCATTTGGGACACAGACAGAATACTGATCCTAGACCAGCTCCAGTGATGGGTGCTTTCCATAATTAATCTCTTCAAACTGTTCCCTGAACAGAGTGAAAGTCAGACACTATGACAGGATTAGATAAAAAAATAAGCGGATCCTTCCCAGCAAGTAAGATGACGGGATCCAGAGAAAGAAGCCAACGACTCAGTGTCTCTGCTACAGTAACTCATAGTGCCCTCAAGAGGGAAGACAGCTAGGCTGCCCACATTTTCTGCAATGTATAAAAACAACGAGAGCATTTATCCTCCTATGCAAAAATCTGTTACTGAGCAAAAGGCATAGCACAAGAGAAGCCCCCAACACTGACCTATACCCTCGAATACCCAGAGCCATATACAGAGATATACATTGTATACAGTATGTCATATATATATATATATATATATATATATATATATATATATATATATATATATATATATGACTCTTTTAATACCTAAAACTTGATCCCTATTATCAACACTAGTCTGTCAGGTTCCTCTCAACACTGAGGAGTTGCTGAGACACCATAGAGGATCTCGTGGGAGGAGAATGAATGAAGAAGAGTAGAGATAAGAAGTGCAGAAGAAGAGAGGTAGGTAGAATGATGATCGGTATTAGAAGCGGAACTTTGGCACAGTTGACCACCTCCGATAGAATGTGTTGTTACTACCATGTCTTTTTTTATTCTGTCTAGCCTCATCTGAAATACACCATTGAGGTCTTATGTGACAGTTGTAGCCACGTCTGGGCCAAACCAAACACAGACTTTAGCCTGGCGCTTTGTTAGCCACTTTAGCTTTGCAGCGAAAATGACTGTTCCTCCCCAGCACTACAAGAGTGACAGGACAGAGAGAGCAAGGATGTGTCCCAAATGACACCCTACTCCCTGTATAGTTTACTACTTTTTACCAGGACGCATAGGAGTCTAGTGAAAAGTAGTGCACTATAGGACACAGGGTGCCATCTCCGACAAACCCCATGTTTGGAGCAGGACAGGAGTGTCCCAGTATGATTCACACTCACGTTCTCCTGCATTCTTGCAGTACTGTTATGGAGAAAACCTGGGTTGTTTGGATAGGTGCAGTTCTACTTGAGACGTACATTTGATAAATGAACTCAACATCACTAGAAAAACACAGATAAAAGTAAATCTACTCTTAAATATGAAATGTATGGGCAACAACAAAGTTTCAACTATGTACAAGAAAAAAAAACACTAATAGGTAAAAAATATAAAAAATAACCTGCCTTCATTTTTCCTTGCTAATCTTAGTAGTGCTAAAATCTTTAACAATTTAAAGTCTTTATGGTCCAAGTTGCAGTCTGTGCCATTCAAGGACAGGGTTAGCTGTTAGCTTTAGCATTAGCTGCTGTTCTCTCATTCTGGCCCCTCTCAATGCCTTGCAAGCTTATTAGGAACACACCACAGTTCAGACCAAACCCTGGATTGCAAATGCTATTGGCCAGTAAGTCTTTGAAGCCACCGGTCAGCCATATTGGCACTCCCCAGAAGAAGCAGTCCTCCATAGGAATGAATGAAATGCTACAGTATTTCAATTAAATGTTTCAAGGACAAAATTACATGTATTGAATAATTTTGTTGTTGTAGTGAGGGCAGTAGCATTATAACATTCCAAAAATTATACTTTAAGGAGAAACATTTATTTGTGTGTTTAGCTCACATAATTTAAAAGTATGCATTAAGTGTCTAATAGAATAAACATGGCAAAAATGAATGTAGACATTAATAAATGCCTTTCTATAACTTCCCAACATTTTTTTTGCAATGTAGGGGGAGTGCCAAGATGGAGGCACGGTGGCTTCAAAATAGCGCCTGCTGTCAGTCATCTAGTGTATATATATATATATATATAAATAATTGGTTCAGACACACACACACACCAACAAGCCCAACCTGCAAGCTCACACTCATTATGACACCTAATGTACGCTCAAACACATGGTCCAGTTACCTAACACATGAGCCACACACACGTCTGAAACATAATCCTGTACCAAACACGCTGTCCGCACTGTATAAACTCCTCCATAATAACAGACTACACATACCAGAGGAAGAATGACATCCAGCTTTAGCAGCTTCAGTCCTAAGCTCTGGTCCAGGGTGTTTATGGGTGGCTTGCTGTTGAAGGCTCAGCAAGCCTGACGTAACACCCTGGACCAGAGCTACTACAGTCCTCTGACCCGTCTTCCTGTACAGGAGCACACTCCATAACGTCAGTTAGTCTTTTCACACAGTGCACCTCGAGAAAAAGAAAAACAGCACAAAAGGCTAAACTGGGGAAAATATATAGACATCTCGAAATGATACAAAATAAATTATGCTTAAAGAAAAAAAACATCTGGTAATAAAATAAATTAAGGCATGCAAAAGAAAGTCAACCTAAGAGATTTGGATATGTTTTTTCTTTTCTTTTTTAAGCCAAATGTCCATCGATTGTTAGAACATCTTCCCATTTAAATGGAAGAACCAGGTAAGTCCTCAGGAAGGTAGCTGCCAAAACAAAATTCAAATCCACTGGAATAATAAGTAACAGGCTCTGAGCGTTTAAAAGGCTGAATATTTACATACGTGTTCTATGCTCGAGCTTTAAGAGTCAAGTATTTACATACGTGTTCTGTGCATCATGCGTGTCGGCAGTGCAGCAAAGGAACAGCAAAACACTCATGTGACACACAGAAACATGATCGAGTGCTTTAAAACGTCCGTAAAAAAAAAGCAAAAATTAATAAAAAATTATTTTCTGACCATATCAGAAAATGTACATCACAAAACACAAATAAGTCACCTTCACTTAGCTCCTCTCCACTTCAAGGAATATGTTTCATCTTTTTAAAAAACGAACAATGTGTAAAAATTATATAAAGTGAAGACACAAAATGTCTGTTGGCTTGTAAGGTGATGGTACTGAGACGTTAGAAGTGAAAACTGTGCTGATCTGTGAGATAAAGGCAAAGTCCCAAATGGCACCCTTTTCCCTATATAGTGCACTACTTTTGACCAGAGCCCTAAGGACCCTGGGCACTATATAGGGAATAGGGTGTGGTTTGGGAGGCAACCAGAGAGCCGTGGTTCTAAGGCTGAGCCTGACACTTTAAGGCTTTGCAGTAAACATCCGATGTGAAAACAAACACTGGCCCTCCTTCCTCATACTGAATTATGACGTGTTGATGTTAAGTAGCTTAGTAGCTAAAGCCAGCATGGACACATTGACATGCAGAGACAGACACACACACACAAAATCTCAACATACACAATCCTCACAGAACACACGCACAATCAATTGTTCAATTAAACAGACCCTATGCCCCTTCCGGTTTCATATTTTAGTTAGACATTTTCTAAGGTTTCTTGGCAGCGTTACATGGTGTGTCTCCCACCACACCCCCAGCCCCCCTCTGCCCTGCTTTGGGGTCCCAGTTGGAGTGTGAGGGGGTGTGAAGGGGTCAGGGATGGGGTAGGGGCCGTGGGGGTCAGAGTTCAGTAGTCTGTGATGGGGGCCAGGTCAGGGTGCAGGTCCACGGTGATGTTCTTGTACAGAGAGCTCAAGGAGATCTCAGGGATGTAATTGAGGTTGTTCAGTCCATCCAGGTTCTGCCTCTCTTTGGAATACCTCAGTAGCTTGTACCTGGAGAGAGAGGAAAGAGGGGGTGGAGGACGATTATGTAGCAGTTAACATTTATACCGACAGTCACAGTTCGAAATGGCACCCTATTCCCTAGATATAAATACATATTCCCTAGGGGCCCTGATCAAAAGTAGTTCACTGTGTAAGGAATAGGGTGCCATTTCAGGTGCAGACACAGGGAGGAGAGGAGATGAAGCTAGCAGTTACTGTAGGATTTATACCTGGAGTCACAGTGAGAGGAGAGGAAGAGGATTGGCCTAGTTAGTGTAGTGGAAACATGAGAGAAGGTGATATACTTGGCGCTGAGGCCCAGCGTGATGACTCAATCACGATTTATGACACTGTTTGGATGGCAGACCATTTGTGGGCGATCACAGGGGTCAAACACACCTTATCTGTGGTAATCTCTGGGACGAGATGTTCCCACAGAACCCTGGGAGCATAGACACGTTGGTGTGAAGACTGCTGAAAAATGTTGAGGAAATTACTGTTACTGTGTGAATTCAGTTGTCATGTTTGGATTGTTTCAAGAGTTAATAAAAGAGCTCCGAATTTTGATACATTTTATTGTACTGTAAGTGCTATGGATTTGTTTTTACAGGGAAACTTATTTTGTTCGTCGGACGGCAGATAGTTCAAAATAACTAACATGTAACATGCAACAGAGTTAGTACTCCTGAGTGGCGCAGTGGTCTAAGGCACTGCATCGCAGTGCTAACTGTGCCACTAGAGATCCTGGTTCGAATCCAGGCTCTGTCGCAGCCGACCGGGAGACTCATGGGCGGCGCACAATTGGCCCAGCGTCATCCAGGGTAGGGGAGGGAATGGCCGGCAGGGATGTAGCTCAGTTGATAGAGCATGGCGTTTGCAACGCCAGGGTTGTGGGTTTGATTCCCACGGGGGGCCAGTATATAAAAAAAAAGAAGATATGTATTCACTAAGTGTAAGTCGCTCTGGATAAGAGCGTCTGCTAAATGACTAAAATGTAAATGTAAGTTAGGAAGGACGTGGTCCTCTGTAGCTCAGCTGGTAGAGCACGGCGCTTGTAACGCCAAGGTAGTGGGTTCGATCCCCGGGACCACCCATACACAAAAATGTATGCACGCATGACTGTAAGTCGCTTTGGATAAAAGCGTCTGCTAAATGGTATATTATTATTATTATATTATTACCTAATTTGTTTAATATTAATAATTATATACTGTTCTACTAATGCTGTGTTTTTGTAAAGGGATGGTTTCTACTCCAGCTACCTGCAGCTAGTCTAGGCGTGTGGTCAAGGACATGCGTTTTACTCGAGATATGAGCCTCTGAAGCTTGGCCTGGCAATTGATTTAGGGATATCTAGGTGATAAAACCATCAGCCACATTCCATTCTATGATTAGTGGTGTGTGAGAGGGAGATGTCTCTGGCCTGACTGAGCCTGAATGTGGGGTGAATGTTGATAAGAACCTTGTCTTGGGGGCCAAACCCTGATTTCCATACAATGAGAACATTTCACATTTACATTTTAGTCATTTAGCAGACGCTCTTATCCAGAGCGACTTACTTTATTAATTTTTTCTTTTTTGTATTTTTTATTGTTATTATTATTATTATTATTTTTTGTCTTTTTTTTTTATTATACTGGTCCCCCGTGGGAATCGAACCCACAACCCTGGCGTTGCAAACGCCATGCTCTATCAACTGAGCTACATCCCTGCCGGCCATTCCCTCCCCTACCCTGGACGACGCTGGGCCAATTGTGCGCCGCCCATGAGTCTCCCGGTCGCGGCCGGCTGCGACAGAGCCTGGATTCGAACCAGGATCTCTAGTGGCACAGTTAGCACTGCGATGCAGTGCCTTAGACCACTGCGCCACTCAGGAGGTTAGTGTAGTGAGAGAACAGTCTTCATAGCAGACACTGTCTGCTGTGAATTATTCATTTCTTTCATACAAATCCTAACCTTTTGACTCATTCCACACATCTGCCGTTTGTCATGTAGACTGAGGGTGTACCTTTGCTATAAAATATATTTGTATTGTCTGTATGTTGACCAGCCTCACTTACTACCTTATTAATACATTTTGAATAAAGTAATATCCTGATTGATGATTGACTTTGTCTCTCCTCATTATTGATTAGAATTTCCACGACACTAGATAGGTCTTGCCATAGATTTTCAAGCAGATTTAAGTCAAAACTGTAACTCCGCCACTCAGGAACATTCACTGTCTTCTTGGTAAGCAATTCCAGTGTAGATTTGGCCTTGTGTTTTAGGTTATTGTCCTGCTGAAAGGTACATTCATCTCCCAGTGTCTGGGGGAAAGCAGACTGAACCAGGTTTTCCTCTAAGATTTTGCTTGTGCTTAGCTCCAATCCATTTCTTATTATCCTGAAAAGCTCCCCAGTCCTTAACGATTACAAGCATACCCATAACATGATGTAGCCACCCCTATGCTTGAAAATATGGAGCGCGGTACTCAGTAATGTGTAGTGTTGGATTTGTCACAAACATAACACTTTGTATTCAGGACAAAAAGTGAATTGCTTTGCCACATTTTTTGCAGTATTACTTTGGTGCCTTGTTGCAAACAGGATGGATGTTTTGGAATATTTTTGTTCTGTACAAGTTTCTTTCTTTACACTCTGTCAATTAGGTTAGTATTGTGGAGTAACTACAATGTTGTTGATGCATCCTCAGTTCTCTCCCATCACAGCCATTAAACTCTGTAACTGTTTTAAAGTCACCATTGGCCTCATGGTGAAATCCCTGAGCGGTTCCCTCTCTGGCAACAGAGTTAGGAAGGACGCCTGTATCTTTGTAGTGACTGGGTGTATTGATACACCATCCAAAGTGTAATTAAGAACTTCACGATGCTCAAAGGGATATTCAATGTCTGCTTTTTTTTTTTTACCCATCTACCAATAGGTGGCCTTATTTGCGAGGCATTGGAAAACCTCCCTGGTCTTTGTGGATTAATCTGTGTTTGAAATTCACTGCTCGACTGAGGGACCTTACAGATAATTGTATGTGTGGGGTACAGAGATGAGATAGTCATTCAAAAATCATCTTAAACACTATTATTGCACACAGAGAGTCCATGCAACTTATTATGCGACTTGTTAAGCAAATCTTTACTCCTGAACTTATTTAGGCTTGCCATAACAAAGGGGTTGAATACTTATTGACTCAAGACATTTCAGCTTTTCATTTATTTGCAAACATTTCTAAAAACGTAATTCCACTTTGACATTATGGGATGTTGCGTTTAGGCCAGTGACAACAAAACAAAACAAAATAATCCAATTTTATCCATTTTAAATTCAGACTGTAACACAACAACATTTGGAAAAAGTCAAGGGGTTTCAATACTTTCTGAAGGCACTGTAAGTCTTAGCCTATTGGTGATAGTCATTAACTCTGAGTAGTCTGTAATGTATCATGTATTTCATGTACACTGTAATTGTTTGAGTGTTCATTATTTTGTGACTAATAAATTATATTAGTTGAATTGAATAAATGCATTCCTCGTTTTACGGAGTAATTATTTGATTGACTATACGCTTATAATTTAGTAGGTCTATTGGTAGTTATTTACACCAGTGGTTCCCAACCATTTTCATTTAACGGGCAAGTTAAACACATGTTCATTATAGTCATTCTGAGAGGTGATGTAAGGCTCGCTACCTTGACTAGATTCCTTCAGAGACGCACAGCCAGTTGCATTTATTCACATAATATTGGCGTCTGATTGATAATGTAGTTTATTATTATATTCAACATAATGGTTGAATAATTTACACCAACCTACATTAGCACTTAGTATTGACACCGAATCAATTATACACACACACCACCACAGGGATCCTTAGTTAACATTAGCATAATGACACCAGGGGGATCCTTAGTTAGCATTAATGCTAATGACATTAAGCGGATCCTTAGTTAGCTTTAACATTTGATTTGACTTATTAGGATCCCGATTAGCCGACGCCAATGGCGACAGCTAGTCTTACTGTGGTCCGAAATATAACGAAAAAGACATTACAGACAAAATACTTTACAATTTACATACATTTTAAAACATTAACATGTAGTGTGTGCATCTATCAGTTACACATACAGTGCATTCGGAAAGCATTCAGACCCCTTGACTTTTTCCACATTTTGTTACGTTAGACTTATTTTTAAATGGATTAAATAAAACATTTTCCTCATCAATCTACACATAACTACAAATCAAAAACAGGTTTTTATACATTTTTGCAGCTTGTGCTCTAGTTGCAGAAGGAAAACCCTAACCCCAAGAGGGAAACTCTCTCCTTCCCACTCTCCTCCTCTGAACCCCAGGAACAGGGAGTAGCTGCTGCATGTGTAACAGCTAATGGGGATCCTAATAAACTAAACTCTGTCCCTCTCTGTATTTGAACCCTATACCATGCTGAGGGGTTGCCTTCATAGCCCTCAGTGCTCTTGGACAGAGTTACTCTGGGGGCTATATGAGGATGAGACCTGGTTGACTTGAGTAAAGAGACATATGACTGTCAACAGGGCAAAAGGGACTTGGCCAATGAACGGGGGGTTAAATAACTCAATGCTGGCAGAGCAAACACCTACACTGACACAAGCCCTGGAAGGAAAGCAACCCTTATTCTACTGATCATAGCTCTGTGTACACCAAGGCTAGCAGGACTACAGAATTGTGATAGTAAGAAAGTCCGAAATATTTTGCACAGTTGAATGTTCCATGAGTACAATAACATTACATTTATTGTTAAGATGAATAGATGCAATGTAAAATTAACACAAATAAAACTACATTTAAATGCAGTGACATCCCCTGCCTTCAGAGGGCGCTGGACAACCTGCTCAATTGGGGAGTAATAGATGAGGAAGCAGCTGCATTCAAGTAGCGGGTAACAATGAACCCTATAAGGAGATAAGTAACCCTTAACAGCTAGATAATGTTCTAGGTATAATTTCCTAAAGCACTGGAGCAAAGGTGTATTGAAAGAGCGAAGCTAATGTGCTGTTTAAGGTAATGTTAGGTAAACATTCTTTGACATGGTGACGCCACCGGCGATGCACTGCTAATGCGTGTGTGTTACTGACCTGCCGAGGAACTGCACTTCTCCTCGGTGGTGGTGTGGGATGGACTTGTATTTACCCATCTCTCCCTCCGGCCTCGTGACGTTCAGACCAGCATAGTGCACTCTGGGAGAGAGAGGGACAAATAAAGCCTTTCACTAAGTTACCCAATCAGATAATACATGTCTGTCTCTCTCAAACACACAGTCAACTGACAAACTCACTGACCTGTTCCAGAGGTCATCGTCCTCTCCTCCCCAGCCCCAGAATGCATTGGGAAAGCCGTTGATCTTGCGGAACTGCTCCACTGTGAGTCCACTCACGCCCCCGAAGAACTCACTGTAGGGTAGTCTGTGCAAAACACACACAGACACAGACACCGTTACACATACACACCTGTAACACGCATCACACATCAACACAGACAGGGGACAGACAGACAAATACATAGCCTAGCTCTGCCTGGGGAGAGAGTGAGTTTTGAACGAAACGACAGAAAGGAAAAATTAAAGAGAGAACCCTTACCAGTCAGTATCACAGGTAAGCATCAAGCAACAAAGAACAAGTCTGGCTGTGTTACAACACACATATAGACACACACAATTATGTTTTCAGACAATGTACAATACAGCCATCAAATTTAGAACAGACACACACATAACCAGAGCGGAAAATCTGTTCAGAAATTAAGACTTCATGACAACATGATTTAGCCTTCAAGCCTGTGTTTTACAGTCTGTTTAACTGAAGCTGTTTATTCCCAAATCATTCTCACATTGAACAAGAAACTCAGAGAAAATCATGCGCACATTCATTATTTCCTTTTGTTGTAGAAATAAGTCTGTAAAGAAAGAAAAGCAACATGTAAAATATATAAACAATAATGAACATAAATAATCAACAACAAAGAGAGACTCTTCAGTACATGTCTCCCGGGTTATGGGAGAGCATCAACTCTCCATATCTCATCTTCAGTCACTAAACAAGGTCAGAGGTCCTATTTTCCCCTTGAGAGAGGAGGCAGTGTACTGAAGTGCTTTTCTAAGTGTTTCTTGGAAGATGTGCCTGCAGCATTTACTTGTTGACACACCAACTAGTCAGGTCATGACAAGGTCACTTGTGACTTGCTGTGTGCCCTTGGCGTGTTGACTTCCGTGCCTTTGGCGTGTTCAGTGACTTACAGGTACATGTACTTGTCCAGTTTGGCTGCGAAGTGGCGAGGCATCTGACCACAGCCGTAGTAGTTACGGTCGTTCTCTGGGATGTGGTCGACGTCGTGGAACACCAGACAGTCCCAGTCCAGATCCTTCATGGCCTCCAGGAAACCCACGTTAAACAACATGGCTCTGTTGAAGGGCTGCATCCCAGACTGTAGGAGAGAGAGAGGGGGTAAGACACATAAACAACACAGCTCAGTCTACATCATAGATTCTATATTTCTCACCAGTGGGTGGCAGAGTTGACAAAACAAAGAGACCGAATAGTATGCACTCACTAACTGTAAGTCGCTCTGGATAAGAGCGTCTGCTAAATGACTAAAATGTAAAATGTGAATAGGATGACTGAGAATAAATGTAGGCAGTAACAACAGATCTTGTTTACAGACAAACAGAAAGTGGTGTTACCTGCTCGATGACGTAGTATGCAAACTGCAGTCTCTGTCTCTGCAGCATGGGGGTGAGGTGCTGGAACAGGATGGGAAGGTGCTCGTGGCGGTTACGGAACGGGATCAGGATGGCTACCTACACAGGGAGCAGGACAGAGGAGTGGACAGTCAGAGCAGGACAGACAGAGCAGGACAGGCAGAGCAGGACAGTCAGAGCAGGACAGTCAGAGCAGGACAGTCAGAGCAGGACAGTCAGAGCAGGACAGTCAGAGCAGGACAGTCAGAGCAGGACAGTCAGAGCAGGACAGTCAGAGCAGGACAGTCAGAGCAGGACAGAGGAGTGGACAGACAGAGCAGGACAGTCAGAGCAGGACAGTCAGAGCAGGACAGGCAGAGCAGGACAGTCAGAGCAGGACAGAGGAGTGGACAGACAGAGCAGGACAGTCAGAGCAGGACAGACAGAGCAGGACAGCAGAGCAGGACAGACAGAGCAGGACAGGCAGAGCAGGACAGGCAGAGCAGGACAGACAGAGCAGGACAGTCAGAGCAGGACAGGCAGAGCAGGACAGGCAGAGCAGGACAGACAGAGCAGGACAGGCAGAGCAGGACAGGCAGAGCAGGACAGTCAGAGCAGGACAGGCAGAGCAGGACAGACAGAGCAGGACAGTCAGAGCAGGACAGGCAGAGCAGGACAGACAGAGCAGGACAGGCAGAGCAGGACAGACAGAGCAGGACAGACAGAGCAGGACAGGCAGAGCAGGACAGACAGAGCAGGACAGTCAGAGCAGGACAGGCAGAGCAGGACAGTCAGAGCAGGACAGGCAGAGCAGGACAGACAGAGCAGGACAGTCAGAGCAGGACAGGCAGAGCAGGACAGTCAGAGCAGGACAGACAGAGCAGGACAGGCAGAGCAGGACAGTCAGAGCAGGACAGACAGAGCAGGACAGTCAGAGCAGGACAGGCAGAGCAGGACAGGCAGAGCAGGACAGTCAGACACAACCACAACATGTATAAGCTCATGTGTTTCTAATACAGAGGAATCAGAAGATATGCGTCTAATAGAACAAAATAAAGACAGGTGTATACAAATATGGCTACAGTTCAATGTCTTTATCTATAACAGAGATAAGAACAAAAGTAGTAAAATAACTGAAATGCACACACTGACACACACACTGTCATACATGTCCACAGTCATACCTTCCAGCGTGGTTTGCAGTCCTTGGGTTTCCAGTGGCCACCGAACTGAACATCCAGATACTTAGAGAACTTCAGATCAATCTCCTCCATAGGGATCTCAGTCATATTCACATCTATAGGACCCTCTGAGAATACACAACACACACACCTGTTTAACAAACATAAACATCATCACTACTATACACAGCTATGGGGAAGGACAGCCTACAGAGAAGGCACCACATTTAACTATAGATTGTCATACTGTCAGTAATCACAGGTTTTCAAACCATGTGGGCAGAAAAAAAGACACACATCACGCATTGACATAAACACAGTGGTAGGACTAAAGCTGGAATAGACCCAGGCCTGTCATTGCAAACCAAATGTGATTAAAGTCTAATTGAACTAATAAAGAAAATTGAGGCCGAAGCACTAGACAGACAGAGGGGTGTGTGTGGATACACACTGAGTATACAAAACATTAGGATATTGAGTTGCACCCGCTTTTGCACTCAGAACAGTGGATTAAGTGGATTTAACAAGTCACATCAATAAGGGATCATAGCTTTGACCTGGATTCACCTGGTCAGTCTGTCATGGAAAGAGCAGGTGTTCCTAATGTTTTGTACACTCAGTGTATGTGTGCACGCGCACCATAGAACACTCCTCCAATATGTCTTCAGATTTCACTGATAGCACAGAGGGGATTATGGGTAATGCAATACATTTAACTGTAGCCAAAGCATCCATCTAGATCTAACCAGTGTGATAAGCCACACTGTCTAGAGATGGATCGGCAGTGTGACAAAGACGAGAGAGAGAGAGAGAAAGAGAGAGGAGGCACAAAGATACACCAAAGAGTAGCTTATCTCATGAGAGTTGTTCCATAATATCATCACCTGATCTCAGTAAGATACTCTCTCAGTTGGCAAACTGATGGTTTGAAGGTTAGTGTTCTGGTTACTTACTCATAGAAGGTAAGCGTTCTGGGCAGGGGAGGTTCTGGGCATATGTGAAGTTCTCAGGGAGGTATGTGGTTGGCTGAACCATATATTCACTGGAGTTACTGCCATCTGGGTAATCTACAGAAACAAACAACAATATTTTTCTTTTGACTTTTCCATCTTCCCCCTTTTAGGTAGCTAAGAGAGGGATCATGCTGATTAATAGGTAGTGGAGGGGAGTAGACAGCGGTTCAACCAACATGAGACAAAGTGCAGCCAAAAATCACAAGAACTTCAGAAGGAAAATAGCAGCAACTCTCACTCCCTTTAGATTGTGAGCGAGGGCTATTCTTGTGATTTTTTGGCTGCCCACTGTCCCATGTTGGTTGAAGCACTGTCTAGCCTACTACCCTCCTAATACTTGAGGTTGGCCAGACGGGTCGGTGGGACGGGGGTCTCCAATCCAACTCACCTGTGCCGTTGAGGGTACTGTTCTTATTGGTGTAGAGTCTGATCATCTGGCCAATGGTCCTCACGTTATCCCTCAACATGATACCCTGGGCCTGCACCATGAAGAAGTAGGTGTTGGCTGAGAGAGGGAGAGAGGGAAGAGGGTGGAGAGAGAGATGGAGGTAGGAGGTAAGAAGAGGGAGACGGGGAGAGAGAAGGGGAATACAGGTGCAGGGACATAGAGCGAGAGAGAGAGAGAGAGAGAGAGATAGGATGGTAGAGAGATGGAGGACGATGAGGTGGAGGGGGAATAAAGGTCCAGGGAGGAAGAGAGAGAGAGGGAGAGAAAGAGGAAGCGAGGAGAGTGAAATCAGAAGTCTGTTTGACTGGTTCAATTACACCCCCTTCACGTACCAGTCTAGTGACTCCTAAGTGCAGTGACAGTAAATTAGCGGACTTCTCATTTCATCAGCGTTAAAGCTTTCTCTCCCTCAGTCTCTTGGCCATACAGGAACAACCTTCGCTGTCACCAGCCCAATGCCACGGTTTAACTCCCAGCAGCAGCTAGTGATGAGACGCACGGGCCAGCGGGCAAGATAAGAGGAAATCACCATCTCACTCTGCGTCCTAAATAGCACCCTATAGTGTGCACTATACTATGGGCTCCGGTCAAAAGTAGTGCACTATATAGGGACTAGGGTGCCATCTGGGGCGCAATCTCAGTCCCACGGTCGACTACGGACAGATAGAAGGGCCAGCCCAGAGCAGAGGCAGCTAGGGCTCTGAATCATTTAGCATTTACCACTATTCACTACTGCAGCAAAACTGCCAGGATGCACACACACAACTCATCAGTTTACACACTCACGCATTTCATCAATTACAAACACACACACGGTCTCTACATCGCCACAAACTCACACACAGAGACACCACACACTCCCAGCCCCGCATTCAAGCACACCCTCTGCATGATTTGCTTTATCACCCATTACAGAGGACTAAGTTGATCCTGTGTGGCAGTTCAGTTCTTTGATCATTATAAGGATGCCAGCCTGCCACGGCAAACAATAACAGTGTTGTTGAATAATGGATTCCAGAAGTATGCCTCCCTATCGGTCTGCAGTGTGTGCGTGAGCATGCGTACCCTGTGTATGTGTACAGCGTGCAAGCATTTTCGTGTGTATACATGAGTGTACCCACTTTGTTAAAAAGGAGAGTGCTCAGAGGCGATAAGAGTCTTATCAGAAGCAGCCAAACTATCTTGGACCAGAGAGGGAGAGGAGGGGCGAGAGGACAGGTCAAGCACTACGAGCCCATTACACTCTGTGCAGTCTTGCCAACTCCTATGGTCATTGCCATGCTAAACATTTATGTAGTGTTTCAGGATTTCTATGAAATATGACCTATAATTACTTAAAATATTAGGGAAATAGTTGTCCTACCAAAAAAAGGTAATTAAGTATGTAAAAAAACAGCTTTTCTGTGTTGGAATGGTGTGTGTGTTCCCCAACAACAGAATGGTGTGGGCGTATACCAGTAGTTAAAAATATTCATGCAAGTACACCGCTGATTGGCCAGCTCATCCTCCTCAGGAGTATGACATTCTCTATGAGGAAATAGCAAGCTTTTCATTTTTTTTTCTTTAATAGTCTTTGAGGTACAAGTTTGAGGAGGGTTTTTTAAAGTGTTTTTTCTCCAATTTATGCTTTGGCCACAAATATGAGTATAGGATGAGTGAAAACATTATTTGGGTATGAGTTAACAGAATATTAACTTTTAAGTGAGATTTTCACTGGACAGTTACTTTAACAGCACGAACAAGTCTGGGACCAGGTTAGTGTCTCCTGGCTGTCTGTGTTGTCCTGGTCAAAACAGTGCTGCAGAACAGTAGTTATTATAATCAGCACTATGTCCATAATGTGATCCTTATGGCCTAGCAGTAGTCATAACACTCACTGTATCATTCCTAGTTACAGTGTGTGACTATGGACTTAGGCTTAACAGCTGGTTAACTAGGTGTAAACAAAAGCAAACAAAGGCCCAAGTAATTTTAGCTACTGATACGCTATAGGGATTTTGCCCCTGGGACCACGAATTTGCTGATCAAAGAAAAACAAATGGTTCCAAAATAACTTTCAAGACAAGTGTAAGCCTACTTGGAAACAGCTGGTCTATTGCCATCTTAGTAAGCATTGGCTGATGGTATAGACATGGGTCCTATTCTAGGTTACCTTGCTCACTCTCTAGTCATGTGAAATAAATATAGACCTATCATTTTAGATGTACCCTAGCTACTAAACCAGCTAGCTAGGAGGGTTGGTCATGTGGCTCTACCGGCTGGCTCTGTCAATGGTTTGTGAATGGGAACAACCCCATATTCCCACCATGGCATGGCCCAACACCATGACAGATGTTTATAAAAGATTGTCGCCAATGAGCGTATATGCCCCTTATGTTTCACATCAGTAATAAAAAATATTTCAAATAAAAAATATACATTTAGCTATCTACTGTAGCAGTTTTGCACATATCCACAAGCTGTGTGTGGTAGTACTGTAGCAACATATAACGGCGCAATCATCCAGATGACTAGGTAACTAGATCGATAAGATAAGGTACCGGTTCACTAACTAATCCTAATACGTTGTAAACGGATAGCTAGCTTGTCCAATTTCCCACACAGTCACAATGAATGAACTCTAATTAGAATAACGTTAGCAAGCTAGCCAGCCAGCTAGCTAACTAGGTAGCCACCTAGCTAGCAGCAAGCTAATTAGTAACGTTAGCCAGCTAGTTGGCAGGAAAGCATCCCTGATGATGCCAAGGTTGGGTAGTTAGCTATAAGATAACATTAGTTGATCATGTTTAGCTAGCTAATGAACTCACCTATTCCAGGAGCAACATATATGAAGTAGAGGCAAGTCGTAGACATGGAGAAGAAAAAAATGAAGGCCAAAAAGGAGCGGTTCGATACCCGCAGCAGCCGCCTCCAATTCACCATATTTGTTTCTGATTAGCCGCTAATCCCATAAAAGATACTGTTTGAATAAAAGATGACCATAAACTGATATGCTAAAAGTAGATGATATGGTCATCCAAAATCAATGCAACGACACAACCCGCATCATTTGAGTCGGTGATGCAGCGAAAAGGGTAATACTAGGCTAGCTACTCAGGCTCCCCAATCCTGGTTTTCCCCTGTCAAGAAATGTCCAGATCGAAAAAAAAAAGGCCTGCATCAGGCACTGCCAAGCTTCAAAGAACACCGTCCATCGGGCATAGTGAAACCATTATCTACTGATTTGGGTAGACAAATAGCTAATACTGGCACATTTCTTAAGAATACTCGCTATACTGATCCATGTTTAGACATGTATTTCTCGCCTGGCGACGAAGATTTAAAAAATGACCATCGGGTGGAAGCGGGTCTGCACCGCTGCCTCCTCCCACCATACACAAGTCTCGACTATGTTTCCAAAACACTCACACTTGGCAAGCTACTTCACCAAATCGTGCATGGAATCCAATACCAGTGAGCGGTTTAGCAGGGATATCGGGAGATTCTGATTGCACCAGATAAACATTGATGATGGAAGCCCATTCCCCCCACGATTTTTTAAAATGTAGATACTATCTCAAAATGTTGAGATACTATGTCAAAATACTATCTCAAATTTCGAGATACTATGTCAAAATTTCGAGATACTACTTCGAAATTTCAGATAAGTAAGTCAACATTTTGAGATATTAAAATTGTGAAACGTCTGGGGTCCTTGAGGAGAGGTTTGAGAACCACTGGGCTAACCTAACCAGGTAAAACTCCGGACCCTAGTTGGAGGGTATGACATAGTAATAAATCAACTGTAAAACGGTTTTATATGGGCTATGATGGAACCAGAGTTTTTCTAATCAGGTCATATGGTTTGGAAAAATTATTATAAACTGGGTGGTTTGAGTCCTGAATTCTGATTGGCCTAATCGCCCAACATCAGTGCCAGACATCACTAATGCTCTTGTGGCTGAATGGAAGCAAGTCCCCGCAGCAATGTTCCAACATCTAGTGGAAAGCCTTCCCAGAAGAGTGGAGGCTGTTATATCAGCAAAGTGGGCACCAACTCCATATTAATACCCATAATTTTGGAATGAGATATTCGACGAGCAGGTGTCCACATACACTGCTAGGAAAATACGCATATTTTCTTTATACAGATTCTAGAATTTCCGCATGAATATCTGTCGCCAGTTGGATAAAAACCTAGCTAAAGACTGTAAAAAAGTAGCCCAATTTGCTTGAAAACTGCGAACATGGCAACACCACATGCAATTTTGCCAGAGCTAAAAAACTGGGATGGGTTTCCCAAAAGCATCATAGCACTAAAATCATCTTAATGGTTTGAGTATTTTTCCAAGTGAGTAATTTTACTTCTACTTGAGTAAAAATTAATTAAAGTACCAGTAGCCTACTTCTACTTGAGTAGGATATTTCAGTAGGCTACTCTTTCCACACCTGGTGAGTGAGTGAAAGAGGGAGTTTCTGAGTGAACTTAGTTCCTACTGTACATTAATTTCCTCTCTTATTTTTCTATTTAATGCATGGAGAGGATCACGCCTAATAACGTTCAGGTAACCGTTGTGAAATGTGCTAATTATCGAGGTCAATGTTTTTATTTTAAAAGTAACTACATTATTTTTACTCAGGGTACTTTTTAAATGAGCTGCTTTCTACTTTTACTTGAGTAGTTGTTTTTACACCAGTAGTTTTACTTATACATGAGTAAGGGCCCAATTAAATTAGATCACATATAGCCGACATCTGCATAGTGGTTGTTTTGGCGATGTTTGAAGTGGAACTGCATTATTTTAGGGCTGTCAAATCCACAAGCAACCCCATGCGGTAAAGCCGGTTAGGCTATTGCTGACACTAGTGGTGCGCTGGTCAGCTGTTTGTTCACACGCACCCACCGGCACTTACTAATAATAAAGTACAAATCTGAGGCCCGCACCTAACATTGTCAGTTGGATAGGCTCTCTGCAAGATTTTGTATATTTTACGTATCATATGAATATCTTTTTCTGACTCAAATAGGGTTCCCTCGAGATCAGTGGCGGCTCCTGAAAAAATTCTCAGGAGGGGCAATTTTTCTGATGATTTAGGTGACCTACACACATTTAAAAAAAGATATGTCCAGCAACAACATGAAGACAGGGGCAGCATATAAGTCAATACCAGAAGCATTTATTGACTGATCTCAAAAGTGTTGGCTTACCAGGGTTGGTGGAGCCCTCAGTTTCATCTTTGCCTCGCAAAGCTAACTCAAACACTCCGCAAAACTTCACACACTGGATTAGCCGGCTGAGGATGTGGCGGTTCTTGCTAATGTCGTAGTAAATATATTTGTTATAGTGAATATGGAATATGATATGTTGAGTAAAATGTTGTGCTAAGATCTATTTAGGTCAGGAGCTGGTTATAAGTTCTGTTCCTATCCAATAACAATGGACAAAAGGGTCCTATCTTGTCAGCCTTGTCAGCAGGTGGCCAAGGACAACACCCACGCCATAGGCCTCTCAGTTCTTCCAACTCACGAGTTCTTGCTCTGAGGACACACACACACACAAACACACACACACACACATCATCACTGTTAAACACACACACACACACACATCATCACTGTTAAACACACACACACACACACACACACAAAAATCCCCTCTCTTAGGCTGAACATTTGAAGACAGAGAACCCGACTCAGAGCCAATGCAACAGTGACAGTAGCCTGCAGGGGACCTCGCCCAACTCATCAGGACCAATCAGAAGATCAGAACTACTAGATTGAACCTACTTCATTTATTGCATAAAATGTCTGCACACAATGTTTCGGGGCTCTCTTCAGATAATAATAATAATAATAATAATAATAATAATAATATGCCATTTAGCAGACGCTTTTATCCAAAGCGACTTACAGTCATGCGTGCATACATTTTTGTGTATGGGTGGTCCCGGGGATCGAACCCACTACCTTGGCGTTACAAGCACCATGCTCTACCAGCTGAGCTACAGAAAGTGGATACTCATGGATGCGCATTGCAATTGTAAAATGTCAACACAATTGGAGACACCACGTCATTTTTGGAGACATGTTATTGACAGTAAACTATTGTAGATGCGACTGCTAACTAACTAAAACATTTTAGCTGGCTAGCTAATCATCTTAGCTAAATGTGGGGCAAACAATTCAGTTATTTACCGTTAATTTGAGGGATTGGGGTGAAAGAAATCGAGTTACATAGTGATACTTTACGATATACTGTATTGACAATATCGCAATATTTTAGCGCTAGTTGGCTGTACCTGCACCAAAACACCATTATTGTTCCTTCATAGCTTGTTCTCAATCTTTTCACATTGGGAGCCAATTTGTTTTCAGCACTTTTATTTCCATGACTGATCAAAACTCGTTCTCATGGCTTTCTGATCCCTCTGCAACAGACATATGGTGCGCAATAAAATCACAGTATCGAATCGCAATACGTATAGAATCATGAGACTCGCAATGCTGATGCATATATCTTATCGTGAGGTTCCTGGCAATTCCCAGCCCAAGTTCATTTGCCACAACAAATCTCTTCGCTAGCAAACGCGATGTCTTCTCCAAAACGGCAATGTGTCTCCAGCAATGTTTACTTTTTTGACGTTCTATGGCATCTCCACTTTCCAAGCATATATGACCACATGTAATATTTTGGTAAGTGATGCAAATAGTGAACTATGTAGGGCCAGGATGTAAAATATATGTAGCTGCAGCAATTTCTCTTATCTGATATGGTAAGTAATGGGGCTTAATTTATAGCTCCCTAAGAGTTTGACGAACGGGTCCGTGAACGCGATTCCAGATATATTTACCTCTGAATAAACTGCCTTTATTACACCATATCCACATCCAGTAAACTTGTGATTATCAACACTAACCTCATCGTTGTGGCGGCGGACAGCTAGCCTGTATCCCTCGTCATCCAGTTGAGTGAGTGGCAATGTCTTTTTTCGTTCGTACCAATTTTTGGAAAATCCTCGGGTGTAGGACTTTCCGCCTTTAGTAGAAACCTGTTGAATTATTAAATTTGGTCTGGGAGGTCCTAATTGTTTCGTTGCCAATTTATCTTCATTTGTTCGCCGACAAAAAGGAACTTCTTTCAAACAATCCACTCTTTTCTCAGTTACGTTCATGGTTACGTAACGTATGACGAAAGCGCGTAAGTGCAAGCCCACAGACACCCATTGAGATTGTATTGAAGGCTCTGAAATTTGAAAAAAATAGATTTTACATGGGAGTCTATGACAGAAGTTCTGGGCGATTTTCAATCTGACTGAAATCGCCCCAAAAGGGGGTGGAGCCATTTGAAGCACGACTTTAGCCTGATTCGACATTTAGTGGCACTGTGGCAGATCAGACGTATAGATTACAACACTGATAACTACTGTTGCCGTGATATAATTGATTAGAAAAAAAATCCCTTCCTTTTCCCGTTTGGCAGTGCGTCGCCCATATCGCCCTATTGAACAGGCCGTCCCTGCTCGAGATTACTCTGATGTCCAAAATATTTAAAATCAACATTTCTTGATATGAAACTTTTAAGTTGAATGTATTTGAAAATATCTACATTGGTCAGTCCAAAATTAATTTTTAATACTGTCATGGAAATAAATGTATTTCCTATTACCAAGTAATTTATGGTTTCTATGCCTTTAGTTTTCCATGTAGACCAATTTATCGGTGAATTTTGAAAAGCTATCCAAGGATTGTTCCATAGGGTTGTGTTTTTAGGGAGTGAGATTGGTTCTTGTAGAATACCTTTCATTTTCTTCTATATTGTTATAGTGTTCTTAACTATGAAGTTGTTAAATGTTTTTAGCTTTATTCTTAGAAAAAAGACATGGGGATGAGCATGCGCATCTTCAATATGTACCCATTTTTCCTTTTTAGTGCATTTAACCAT